TCGTGAAGAGACAAATTACAAAATAGAAAATATTTTGAATTTATTAAGTGAGTGTTAATGATTGTTTTTGTAACTTCATTACATTAAAATTTTGTATATCCAAGATCACCACAATTTTTTTGTTGCTAATATTATAAATATTATATATATATTATATTTTCTTAAATTCAATATTGCTCTTAGATTAAATTAATTAATCTTGGTATAAATTCAATAATTATATACTAAACTTAGAATTAAATATTGTCCAATTATATTTTAAAGAATTTCCTTTAATTCAATTTCTTTTCTCTAAATAAAATGTGACAAAAATTTGATTAAGTAAAAAGGTAAGTTTAAATAATTTACATTAGTTAGATTATTTTCAATGAGTAAATAATAAAATTTAAATTTATCCATGTCTTTAACATTAAAACCTGAATTGATTCTTTGTACAGATGAAAATATTGAAGACTATAAGGACCCATGTATGGAAGCTAGCTTTGAAATAGTTTAAATACAAAATGAATTTCAGAAGGAGAAAGAGATTGATACAAACAGAATAAAAACTCAATCAGATGAGCATTAAACATTTATAAAAACAAGAAAATATAGATCATCATAAGAGTTACAGATAAAACCTGCATTTTAGAATAACAACCGAGAAGTTTTTGAGAATTCAGGAAAAATATAAGCCAAATCAATTATGGTTTCATATTTAGTAAAGAGATTTTTGACTAAATTATCAGCATCAAGAAAGCATCGATTATTTTTTAAACATAAACATTTTTAAATAGTTGGAGATAAAGCAAGTGGTGAAGAATAAAATTTAGGAGAAATAAAAAGTATTTAAAGGAAGAAAAAAGACTAATCAAATAATATTTTAAAGATAGTTTTGAACTTAATCTTAGAATGCCCTAATTTTGTATCTTCATTATTCAGATAATTACCTATTATTTATCCATAAGATATTCATAAAATAATATGGGATATATCATTTTGTTTTGTTTTAATTTACTTTTTTGTTATGATTCCTTTAGAGTTAGCATTTAATAAAGGGTTATTATATTAATAATGTATTTGGTTGACAGTGCCTTTTTGTTTATTTTTATTAATAGACTATATTATGAAAATGAGTACTGTATATTATGAAAATGGATAGCCAATCATAGATAAAATTAAAATATTTAAGAATTACCTTAAAAATGGATTTATTAGGGATGGATTAGCTATTCTTGTAATAATTTTTAATTTTTTTAACTATTTTTATATTTAGAGTTATTGGATTAGTTTGTTATAGTTATGTTTTGTTAGCCAATTTTCTTATTTTGCTAAAATAATTAAAAATGTAGAAGAATCTATAAATTTGGACAAGACTTCATCCTCAATTTTAAATTTAGCAAAACTTTTATTAACAATATTATATATAGTACATGTATATAGTTGTTTATGGTTTTTAATTGGGGATTATGGAGGAGAAATGAATTGGAGTAATTGGTTGGATGATCGCCATTTAAAACATGGATCTAGTTTTTCTTAATATTTAGAATCTTTTTATTTTTCAACTGTGACAATGATCAGTGTAGGATATGGTGACATTGTACCTCAAAGTAATTTATTATTTTTATTAAAAAGATGAATTAGAAAAGGTCTGTACAATTTTATTTATGCTTACAACTTGTATTCAACTTTCTTTTACAATTAATACAGTAGCATAAATATTTTCTTCTATTAATCATGCAACAGAAAATACCTCAGAGAAAATCAGGATAATAAATAAATATATGAGTAAAAAGAATATCAGTTTTGGGTTATAATATTAGTAAATTTAATATCATTATCATTTAGAATAAGATAATATATAAAAATATATTGGAGTTAATAAATGAAAGAAGAGAATGAGTTGGAAGAAGTACTTATTAATTCCCTTTCAGAGAATTTAAAGAACAAATTAATTGAAGAAGCTAATTCTTCAATTCTAGACAAATGTGAATTTATAAAAAAGACATTTACTGATTAAACAAAATCAAAACTAATTAAATTGCTAAAAACAGTTTTTATTAATCCTGAACAGACAATTACTTCTTAATTACCTTAATTTATAGAACCTTGTCTTTGTTTTATAGAATCAGGAGAATTACATTTATAAAATAATAGTCAAATAGATAATTCAGAACTGATTAAATTTCATTAAGGACAATATTTTGGTCTTAATGAATTATTAACAGGTTAATTACCAACTTTATAATTGCAGAGTGAATCATTTGTATAATTGGCAATTTTGTAAAGAAGTGAATTCTTAGAAGTTTTGAGGGAAAATCCAATTGATTATGAAACATTTTGTGCAATCAAAGATTAAATTTTAATGCATAATTTGAATATATAAAGCAAATGTATGTCATGTAATTGCAGTGGACATACAATTTAAAATTGTCCTGTTGTACATTTTGTAGTGGATAAAGAAAAAGTTATTAAAAGCCATTAATTTTAACATAGTTAAAAAAGAGAATACTTTATGAGAAAAAGAAGACCAAGACACATGTTTCATCCTATATTGGATTAATGGTTTTTGTATTATTTATATCTTAATCATAGATCTGAAATGAGTAATATGTTTAGAAATCATGGAGAATGGCCAATAATTTAGTTTTATTCTATATCAAATAAATTATTAGAACAATAACCTGATAAAATTGGAGCAGAATCTCCTACTGTAAGAATTCGTGAAGTTACATTAAGCAATAGTAACAGATCTTAATCTTAACTTCCTAATCTACATGATATTCTGTAAATATAAAAACTTGAGATGCAATAAAACCCTTGTAAAATTATATAGTAATATTTAGTTCCTCAAAATAAAACAATGAGATCGAATTATAAAAGAGCTAGTATTAGAGTTAAAAATACTGGAATTAGATTAAAATTTTAGAAAATAGTAAAAAAAATAATTAGACTGAGACATTTCTCAAGTGGCTTTTAAAAAAAGTCAGATTCTTAAAATTAACTCACACCTTAATCTCTATTTAATAAAAGTATGTATTGGGTTGTTACTTCTTATTTTAAATAACCCTAATTAGAAGAATATCTTTGTAAAGAAGATTTTGAAAATCTTTCTTTTTTAAACAAAAGATTAAATTTAACTATTAACTAAGATTTAGATTTAAATAAATAATTTGATTGTTCCAAAGAGTACTTACATTATTTAAATTAAAACAATTTATCATTAGTTTTGGAGTAGCTAAATGAAAAATCTGTAATGAAAAAAAAATCTTAATTTTAATGTCATTCATAAACAACTATAATTTTACAACAAATTTTAAATTCATAGGAGAAACGAAAGATGTATTTATAAACTTATCTAATAAAATATTTATCTTATCCAAATGAATATTTTGAAAAGTTCCATAAAACTAAGAAAAAAAGTTGTAAAGATGAGGAACTATTAGGTGAAAAAAAACGAGAGCTTATTAAAAGATTTTCCAATAAAAAAAGTCTAAGAAGATCAAATAATATTAATGATTTTTAGAAATCAATTTAATAATTTAATAAGTTAAATAGGGTTTTGCCAACAGATTTTATGTTAGATACTCCTTGATTAAAATTGTAAATGGTGAATTAAATGATAAAATTATTTAATTATACATCAAGTTAATAATTATTAAAGCTCTTTTAGTTCATTCTCTTTAGGTTAAGTTAATTCATCATTTAATTAAAATATTCTAACTTCACATCCTTAATATGAACATGCCAATAAATCTTATTGTCTTTAATTAAATCTCAAACAAGCAGCACTCTATCCATCATTTTTTAAAGTAACTACCTATAATTAGTTATGATATTTTACTTATTATTAAGTGTCTTACATTAAATCAAAAATTAAAATTTATCCTGTACTATCACATGCTGCGAAAACACAAGGTCTAGTTGGAGAAAATTAAGCTGATAAAATGTAAGTTTAAATATATTCATAAACAGCTAAACATCTAGCTGTATTTTGTAAATATAATCTTATTTGTCCATCCATAGAAGCTGTGATAAATGCAGATTTCACAAATGGAGAAAAATTAATAGAAAAAACAGTTCCGTAATGAGCTTCATAAGCATAATTTATAGGATTAGCATACATTTTTCTAATATCAGGTTTAGAATTGACTAACTATTAGATGAAAATATTATTAATTTTTCTTTCTTTGCAATAATTTTCAACATGTAATTTGATTTCAGGTAAACATTTTTAATTTAGATTCTACATAAATAAGATAGTTTCTTCTTTCCATATAAGTCCTTTGTCTTTTGTGAAATAATTAAATACAATACCTCTAGAATCTAAATATGTTTATTTAGTCATTGTATAATTGATTGGAGTGATTTAAGCTCTTAAAACAGAACCTCCTTCACTTCCAACAATAAAAGAGAAAGGATCTTCATTTGATTAAGCAATACAAACTCCTCCTACACTTTCTGTTTAAGATTCCTTTTTTCTTACTAGATAGCAACCTTTCAATGGATTCTATAAATGAAATTCAGCACTTCCTCTTTCTGGATTCCAAATTAAGACTTTACCTTCACAACCCAAAGTCATAATCTAAATAATATTTATTATATACTGACTCATCTTATAACCATAAAATAGCAGTAATACTTTCTCTATGATAATATTCATCAATAGTTGAATGAGCTAATTCAGAATTTGTTGAAATATCATATAGATACAATTCACCATTAAAACTTCCAACTGCTAAGATGTTTGGATTGGTTGGATGAAATTACATACACATATTACATGTATTAGTCTCAATTACTATTGTTGGTTTATCAGGTTTGAAATCTCTTTTAAAAATATTCCAACAATTAATGTATGAAGTATGAGAACATTAACCTAAATGATCTAAACAACCATAAGAGGCTGCTATTATCAAACCATTAGAATTCCATTAAATATCAGTGATTTCTAATTTTCTCTCTAACTCTATTGATTTATTTTATTAATTTGTTAGAATGTAAACTAATTCAGTTTCTTTTCTCTAAATATCAGATAATGGTTTATAACCTATTTTAATAATCAATTATTTAATACTATGATATTTTTTCAAATTTTATGATTCATCTAATTCTTTAATAACAGTTGGTAACACTCTTTTTAAAAATTAAGATAATTTATTTTAATCAACTTGAATTATATAAAGATTTCCTTTTGTTTATTATAATTCATTTTAGTCTATTTATTGCTGAATATAAAGAATAGTACTTCAAAATCTTATCCGTCTTTTTTAGTAGTTGTCCCTTAATTTTTAACCTTATAGTCAGTAATGGTTCCAATATCTCTTATATATGTTTAATTCCCTTTAGTAAATTCAAATATATGTTCTTTATCATTGAAGTCATCAAAAATTCCATCTTTCATCTTTAATAAATATTATATTATAATAAATTCATATTTTTCAATCAAGAAGAATATCTGGACAAAGTTCTCTAATAACCATATCACTAATTTTAATTTCCATTCCTTCTGCTACTCCATCTTCTAAAGTAACTTCATCATAATTGACTACTTTTCCTCTAAAATAATCAGCAAATTTTTCTAATCTTTTTGAATCTGCCTTAATTAATCTATAATGAATTTATCTCATATTAATTCTATGAATTACTTAATCAGGCTTTAATCCACAAGGACAACCTGTTTCATCCCATAATTCACTGAATCCACCAAATTCTTTACCATGTGGTGGTTAATCACAAATATGAAAAATATATCTTAAACTTGGTATCTTACTACTATCTCTCCAACTTATTTATTATGCTGCTACATTTAATCCATCTAAAGCTGCTTCAGCACCATCACCTCCTCCATAACAATCTGATTTCTCTATTGCTTCCAATATCTCTTTATTAGAACATAAATCATGCAATTCTGTTAAATATGTTTCTTCTTAAGGAGGATGATCACGATAACATACTAATCCAAATCTAACACTCACTTTCTCACTTTTTGATTGTTATTTAATTCTCTCTACTAACATCTAAACTGTATGTGTTGTTCTTTCTAAATATATATCCATTGATCCTGTTGTATCTACTACAAAAACACAATCAACCATTCCTATTGAAGGTTAGTTAACATCTGAAGCTGCTGATATGTTTGATTTTGTTTTTCTAGGCCCTTATTTTGCTTATTTTTATTCTTAAGGTTATACTATCAACTTTTCCACCTTTTTCTATTCCTTTTTTTATTCTTTTTTCTCTTATTATATTTCTACCTTCTTTTCTACTTCCATCTCATTATTCAACTTTTTTTCTACTTTAGATTGCTTTTCATCATTTTTCTTATGAACAGGCTCATCTTTTTACACTTTTTTTTATTAAATAGGTGTCTTTTTCTCTATTTTTTTTGAAGTCTTAGATATAGATAACTAAGACTATTTTTTAAGATCTTCTTTTGGTTATTTTTATTATCTTTATTACTTTCCTCTCTTTACTTAAACTTATTTTTATTGAACAATTTTCTTAGGAGATTCTTTATTTTACTTTTAAGTTTATGCTCCTCGTTAAGCCCTTTATCTTTATTATGCATTTTAATTTCTCTATCTTGTTCTTTCCATCTATTCTATTCTTTATAAATATTCATTTCCTTCTTTTATTGTCCTCTCCATTGATTTAGATCTTCTCACCATTATTATTATAAATAAATTTTAAATATTTTTAACTTAAGATTCCTTAAATGTATATTTATAATCAGATTTATATCAGATTATATTAATTTACATGTCTTCTTTGTTATTTTTATGTATTTTTATATTTTGTATAATTTAATTTTTTTATTTAACAGTTCATTAAAATTAGAAATTATTTGTTTCAATTAACATTCACCATTTCAAAATATTTTTAGAGAAATTTAAAATAAAAGTAAATTCTTTCGATACAATTCAGAAAACTTTAATAATTATTTAAGCTTAGAATTTATTCTAAATCACACTCAATATCTCAACATACCAAAATAAAATATGCTTTATGCATAATACAAATAACTTCGCTTAATTAGATTTATCTTGAAAACTCTACATAATATTTCTTTATTAATATAAATGATTTTTATTTTTTCAAAAGCTTTTCAAATTACTTTAAGTAAATTTATATGTCAAAAGTTAATACAATATTGTTTTCAGTCTATATATTTATGTTAATTATTTCTTTTTAAACAAATTCTGAAACAAACTATTTAATGCTTTTGTTTATTTAATTCACAAATCCTAAATATCATATTTAAATCTTGAAGAATCCACTAATATTTGAGCTATGCTTAAATCTCACTAATATATAAATTAATCCTTATATTTATCCATCAAATCAATATATGACATCGTTACATTCTTAAGTTAGTTAAACAAAATAATATTAATTTTTCTTTTAAAATAGTCAAAGAAGAAACCTTGAATATAGAAAGACTACAAGTATAATTTTCGAGTTTATAAAATTCAATATTTTTAAAGATAAAATCATCAAAGAATATTTCTCATAAATTCCAGCCGAGCCAATCTTAATAATGACTAAATTTATTTTAAATATCAGATAAACTATGATATAATTATCAATTTTCTAAAAGAAAACTCATAAATCAACATTTTATTTATATAAACATTAGTTTGATGACTTTTATCTATCTTTCTCATACTTAGTTTCATTTCAATTCGACACTTTCATAAAGATCCTTTCTATTAATTTTATTAAAAGTAATCTTAATCATTTAGAAATATTATAATTTATGATTAGGTTAACATTAAATAATTTTATTTTTTTCAAATGTCATTATTTAACATTTTCAGATAACAAATTCATAACCTTGATGCTTTTATTAGTTGAAAAATTTAATATATAATTAAAATTACTTTAGTAATACTTGTTTAAGAAGAACTTTTTTTTTTTATGATTATTTAATAAATATATATTTTAAATTTGATGAGTGCTAACGATAATTGCTAAGATTATAATACATTGGATGAATAGCATAAATAATAAATGATGTAATTAGAAACGATGGGTATGATGTGTAAATATTAAATGATTTTCACTAAAATGGATGCAGCTTTATTGAAAATTGCTTCAATATTAAGATAAAAGTATTTTATCAATTATCATTTAAGATAAAATAATGACAAGGCTTATGCTTTATTTTAAATAAAAGATAGATCTGTCTGTTAGAAACAATTGCTTATGATAAATGCACTATCAATAGCTTAAAGAATGAAATTAAAGGTAAGTGGTTTATTTAATTTTTGTGAAAAACATGCTCAAGAGAATTAATTTATAGGTATTATTTCAAATAGTATTTCAAAGCTTTTCATAAAATTTTAATTATTTCTAAAGCAAGAAATTAAGAGTAGAAGCTTAAAGAAGAAAATGAAAAATAGAAGAAAGAGTTCCTATTTAAATTGAATTAGAAAGATGAAGATATCGACAGATAAAGAAAAAAGAATGAAGAATTAGAAGGAATTTTATATTAATAAAAACAAAGGGAGAGTGATTGTACTATCAAATTATAATAAAAAATGAAACTAATTTAGAGATATGAAAGTGATCTTTTAGAACTTAAAAGATAACCTTCTTCTACTAAGAATTCTAACTAAGAAAATAGAGTAAACCTATTATTTATAATTTAAGTTGAAAGAATTAGAAAATAATAATGCCATTTTAAGTTTATAGATATAATAAAATTCCTAATCTTTAATAAATTTTGTAAAGGAAATGAATGAATTATTAGACAGCCATTCTTTTATATTGAATGAGAAAAACATAAGCAGCTTTCGTGCAAAATATAAATGATTTTTATTTGTTTTGTCTTGATAATTTACAGTTTAATACTCAACTAATTTGCTCATCTAATTCAGTATGTTATAAAAACTCATGAAACATTACTTTATTTTTATCTATTAACTCAGCAAACTAATGCTCCAATCTCATAGAATTCAATCCTAACTCCATAGGATAAGTTTCTAGTTTAAGCATTCTATTAATTAATTTATCATTGCATTAAATAAATCTTCCTTTTCTATTGCTTATATAATGTGTAAAAGATTTCACCATTTATAATTTATCACTTGATGATAAATGATTATTGATATTTACAGTTAAAAATCCAGTTTTGAAATCGACTTAAACCTAAAATTACTATTGACTTTGTTTCAGTTGTAATTCTTTGAGTTGTAATAAACACGATAGTAATTATGAGGAAGAAAGTTGATACTTTAATTAAAGAGACAAATCTTAATTTAAATGATTATTAATATTATTATTAATATTATTATTATTATTATTATTATTATTATTATTATTATTATTATTATTATTATTATTATTATTATTATTATTATTATTATTATTATTATTATTATTCCATAATTATCTTGTAACATATTTATCTACTACATTATCTAAAGTTTATTTAAAATCTGGGAGATTTTGCGTTCCTTATTAGATTATTTTATATTAATTTGAATAACAATCATAAAAAAATTAGATCTAATCAATTTATTAAAAATTCATACTTTTTATCTATGTTATTAAGATAATTTAATTAAGGAATCAAATAGATAATATAAATTAGTTTTACTAATATATCTTTTATCTAGATTAATCTCTTATTTAACAGGTAATTCTAAAGATTCCGTTTTAAGAGAAACTTCATAAACAATTCCAAATCTATGCTATTATCCTATAAATAATTAGTTAATGATAGGGGAAGCTGTGGGAATTTCAGTTTAAAGTTAATGAGATGTTGGTGAAATAGCAACTAAACCAGTCACAATTTAATTAAGATTATCATATTCGACAGAATCTAGAGGAGTAGAATTATCACTTAAAATTGTAAATAATCTTTATTAACCTGAAAGTGGGATTCTTCTTCCATATTATGCTAAAAATGAATTCACATCTTGGACTCTATTTCCTACTCCTAATTTAACAATTTGAGTTTATGAATCATATTCTTTATGTTAAACTTTTCTAAGATTAATAATCAAAAAAGGGTATTTACAATAAGTAAGTCTTTTGATTTCTTTTTCTGATAAATTAAGATTGTTTTATAGTTATTACTTATAATCTTCAATACTATCTACATCCATGGTAGTAACTTTAAATCCATATTTAGCAGCTTTTTAAACAATTTTTTTGATAGCTTCAACTTTTTAAACATAAATGATGGCTGTAGGAGTAGAAAACTTTTAGGCAACATATTATTTCATGTTACCAAAATGAAGATGCATTCCATCACTTTTAGCAACAATATTTCCTATAATCTAATCATCGAACAATTCTGTTCCATCATCTTTCTTAAAATAAGTTCTTGCTAGTTTTCTGATGAATCTGAATCTTCGAAAATAGGTCTCTTCAAAATACTAATTGACAAAATAAGTGGTTGACAAAGCACCACATATAAGAGATATTCGAACGTATAAATTATTCATTAAATTTATGAATTGTTAAATCCACCCCTTTAAGCAATGTTCATTCTATAGTAAAAAAATAGATAGACTTTAATGTCCACTTTGTCTTTTACCATCAGATTTATAATAATAGGTTATTGATAATACTACTAAACCTTTATAAAACAACAGCATTATTGATATTGATTTGATTGAATCTCTAGCATAAAGTCTTATTTAAGAAGAAGATATACATTAAGATTTAAATCTATTAGAATAAAAATATCTAGATATTATTTCAGAATTCCAAAAAAATACAACTAATTTCTTAGAACAATTTTGTTAGAATATCTAATCAATTTTATTATCTAATCTTTATAAATTAAGAATGAAAGCTGAGCAACATTAAACTGATATGGAGGAAAACCAAAAATTATTAAAAAAAATATAAGAAATGAGGAAAAAGGATGATCATGAATGTATTGAATCAATAACATCTCTTCAAAGTGCTATTGTTAAATAAGATAAAATTACTCACTAGAAAATACTCTCATTATAAACTAATACAGTTTAAACACTAGAAGATTTTGTTAAACAATTTATGAAAACACTGGTTTCTTTTGATATTCATTAATTTGAAAATGATATTTAATTGATTTTCGATCCTAAAGCAAAACCTTTAAATAAATAAAATGAACCAAAATCAATAAATTAATCTATGTCATCTTAATCAGGAAATATATCAGTTGAATAAATTAAAAAAATAACGATTTAAAATTAATTTTAATCATAATATATTGCAAATTCAATATTATCATCTGAAAGTTAAATTATTATTGGAACTAAATGTGGTAAATTAGTGCTTTATGAATGCAATTCATTTGATCAATTATTCTCATTAGATGCTCACAAAGATAGTATTAAAATATTGGCAAAAGGTTTAAATGATAAAATATTTGTCTCAAGTGGTTAAGATAAGGTGATAAAGATTTGGGATAAATATTATTCAGAAACTGAAAATGCCTTTTAAATTGCTTTGAAATTTGACTTAGAATAATAAGTTAGTTAAGCATTATGCTTAAATATATGTGAAGGAATTTAAATATCAAAATAGAAAACACAGAATTTGTAATGTTTTTCAATTTAATATTATTAGACTTTTAATTGGATCAGTTGATAATACTGTTCGTGTTTGGAATTATGATAATGGATAGTACTTATTTACATATTCAGGACATACAGGAGATGTATATTGCGTGGCTTTTGTAAAAAAGGCAAATTTAATTGTATCAGGTTCTTAGGATAAATCTATTAGATTATGGGATGGAGTAAATTTTAAATATAGCAGACCTGTTTTTAAATTTAGTGGTCATACTGATAGCGTTACAGGATTATTAGCAATATCTGAAGAAAATCAAGTTTTATCTTGTGCATTAGATAAAACTTTTCGATAATGGGATTGTGACAAAAAAGTTTAAGTTAGAGTATTTACAATTTAATTTTTACCTTAAAGACTCATTTAATTTCAACCAGGAATTGTAGTAATTTAATCATCTGATGCAAAAGTAAGAATTTATGACTACAGAATTACAACTCTTTTACATGAAATAAATAGTAATTGATTATTATATGTTATTTAGATTAAAAAAGAAATGTAGCTACATATTGTGTTGATTATGACAATAAGAGTATTTTATGCGTAAATGAAAATTATATAAATCTGTTTTATTGAAGAATTAATATTTATGATTCATCTTGTTTCTTTATCTCTTTATTAAAGTATATATTATGAATAATTTACACTATCAATTACAAGTTTATAAATAATCAATCTTTATTCATTAAAAATTCTATCACTATCAGACATCTTTTTATCTATTCTTGACTAAGATAATCCTATAACTATAAAGTAATTATTTGATTATTTATATTCTTTTTTATTATTACCCATTTATATGATTTATTGATTTATTACCAGAACATATACCTAGGTTTCTAATTTCAACTTATTTAGAATATTAAATCTTTCCCATTTTTAATTATAACATACAAAATTTCTAGACTAAATGTAATGAGTTACTAATTAATTTTAACAACCTTTTCCTTATAATCAGGTTTATCAATTATTTTACCATTAGCAAATGTAAATATCTCATTGATAATTCATTTATTTAATAATTTCAAGAAGATTGATAACTTCGCCTTTATATCTCATTAATACATAAGTTATAAGACAACTTTTTATATAATATTTCTTCGAAAATAGAAGGAATTCGTTCGAAATGAAATAATTCTAAAATTATTAGTAATATTAATCTTCGTTTGCTCTACAAATCAAATATTATCTTTGCATTCTTGAAAAATTCTTTGTATGACAATAACATGATCATCTATTAAAAACAAATATTAATATTAAATATACTATGAAGAAACAAATCAAAAATATATTTTCAGTATTTGCAATAAATTTAAATAATAAATGGAGATAGCGGCGTATTCAAAGTTTTACAGCCCTAAAGTTAATTTTTAAAAAGCTTTCATTAATTTGAAAAGAAATAATCCTAAGACATTCAAAACATTAATTCAAGATTAGATTTAGAAAATTGATTCTCAAAAAATAATAGAAGATTATAAAGAGAAAAGTAGACAACGTTAATGTAATAACATTTAATAATTTATAAAGAAACAACTAGATTTTTGAGATCACGCTAATAAGCATCTTAAAATTGTCTATAAAGTATTGTAATTGATAGTTTTGAGAAAAAAAATTTTTTATCTTCACCTACATCTCCTGCTACTCCTAGACATAATTCTGTAACAGGAGAAAAGTCTATCAATTTCAATACTACATACACTTAAAAAAGACGATAAATGCAGTAAATAGAAAATTTATTTACAGAATAAATTAATAACGAAAATAGAAATTCTCTCCTTGAATAAACGGAAAAATTTATTGCAGAAACTCTATCATAAGAATTTAGAGAATTAGGATCATTATTTAATAAATTTATGTAAGCTAAAAATAATGAATTAAATGAGTAATAAATAGATTTAAATAACAACGAAAAAAAATAAGAAATTTTAAAACAGGAAGAAATTCTTAGAATTGATAGAAATTTTAATTAAAAAAAAGTGTAATATGAATTACAAATTTATAATCTTAATCAAGAAGTCGCATAACTGCAATCTAAAATAAAAGATATTGAAACTAATTTTATTATTATAGTTGATAAAAACAATTAATTAACAAATAAACTAACTTTAAAAATGAAAGAAATTAGCTTAAAACATTAATAAATAGTAAAATTATAAGAAGATAAAAACTATCTTATAAGAAAAATTAAAATTTTAAATTCTAGAAATAAATAATCTATGGGTAATTCATAAAGGGAAGAAGCTTTAGATGATATTGATAGTATCAAGCGATCCATTGATTCATTATCAAATTCATAGAATTTAGAAAAAATGATGATGATTAAATCTGATTCATTTTCTTTAGACAACTATTCAGATAGCATTGATATGGGTGAATATCGATTAGATGAAGTAATATTAAATCATGATGCAATTATTGAATATCGATCATAAGAAACTTAAACTACATTTGAATTGTTGTGTAATCTCTATTCTGTTACTGAAACATAAACTTATATTACTCTACTTGATAAAAAATATGAAGTAATTAATCAAGATTTCATTGATAATGCCCTTCATTATATAGATTTTTTTCTATCATTAAATGAAGAAATCTCGACTGATAATCCATTTAAATCCAATTAGGAATATACTTAATCTGTATATGAAAATTAATATAATACTATGATGATATCTTAATAACCTACTTCTATCACTAATATAATCGATAAGAATTTCTAATCTAATAAAAATGATTTAGTGCCTTTTATGAAGTATTTGCATGAAAGATAATTAGAAAATGAGAAAATATCTATATTTTAAAAATAAGAAATTTCGGAATTAAATTCTCAATTAATTTAAATAGTAAAAGATAAAGTAGAAATTAAAGATGAAAACTATTAATTAAAAAATGAAATATAAGAATTATTAAAAAGATTAGAACTTTTAGAAAATTAATCCAATCTATAACGTCCTCTTGAAATTTTATCAGACACTGAAATTTAAATAGATGAGACTAAATTAAAGAAAACATCAAGTAAATAAGGAAGAAAAATCAGAACAATTAGAAATTTAGGAAGCAAAGTAATTAATTTAATTAAAAAAATAGATTTCAATCTCTTATGAGTTTCAAAGAAATTAATCAAGATTATTAATAGAAAAAGTAAAAAATAAAACTCCATCTAAATTTACAAATTATATGCCAATAAAATTAGTACTTAAATTCATTTTTACAATCTATTAAGATAAAATATATAATCAAAGAGAAAATAAACTTTTAAGAGACTAAGATTTGGCATCATATATTTATAACTATTTTTTACAATAGTTTGGATATACGAAAATAACAGAGTAAAGATTTTTAATTCTAATTTTATCAATCAAAAAATATTTAAATGTCATAAGAGTCAATATATTTGCCAAATTTTTAGGATTATTAGAAGATAAAGTTAATTATACTGTAGAGGAATAATAAAAATATCTTTAAGCACATGAATTTATCCAAAACTAACATTAATTAGGTGTATAAGTTAAAGATAATGAATATAATTTGAAATTTTATGTGCCATATTTAAGAGCTCTTGCTTATGTGTCTAGTTTATAAAATTGGTATTTTTCTGGTGAAGAAATGTATTATTTAAAATAAGAAATTGAATTATTAAAAGAATAAGATGATAAAAATAAAAGTGGAATAATAGATTTTGATTAGATGATGCTTAGAGTACTTGTAGTATTTAGAAATAATATTGAAAAAACAAAATTATACGTTATAAATTCATTTAATGCATGTGATTTAGATGGAAATGGATTTGTGGATATTAATGAATGGCTTTTATTAAATAAATATATAGAACCTTAAAAATATGATGAAACTAAACTTATAGAAATATTTGAAGATGCTGCTGACATGTAATTAGATGATGAGAAATATCTATCATTTGATAGATTTTCAATCTTATGCATGGAATCAGAATTATTTAGTGATGAATAATAAAATAAGTTTCTCAAAGTTCGAAGTAATTTTATTATTTCATTTTAGATAATTCTGAAGTAGAGTAAAAATTTTGTGAATTAAGAAAGGTTTGGCTTAATGAGTATGTTTAAACATTAAATAAAATCAAAAAACATCCTAAATTAGAGGATGATGAATAGAAACATTGGATTTAAATTTTAAATATTTTAAATGAGAAGATTTTATTGAATCCCCAATAAAGCAAACCTTTAATTATTTCCTTCAAAATACTCTAAGGGGAGATTTAATCAAATATTAAAAATTGAATTATTATTTTTCACACTATTAAATGATAAATTTCCAATATTATTTTATTTATTTTCCTCTTAATGTTTTTTTTCATTTTTTTACAACTATTTTGTTTCATTAAAAGAAAAAATAGGACATTAATTGAATGTAAAAAAATGAGCTAAATTAATTAATTGATATTACCTTGTTGATAATAAGAATATTCTTCAATTAAAGTATTGAAACATAAATTAAACAATTAAGATTTTTAAAATTAGTTTAATCCTGAAACAATGAACATTATTTTTTCTTGATTTGTATGCATTTTTATAGAAATATTTGATTATGGATTTGCATTTTTAATCAGTTCAAAAATAAAAAGCAAATGAAGCTATTTAGATGTTATTTAGGCCATATTATCTTCAATTAGAAAGCTTATTTTGTAATATTATTACAATTAATTTAAGACTCTTGTATAAAATTGACTAAGATTAATAACAGCATCATTAAATAATAATTTCTAACACTTTAATATTTAATACTAAAATAAAGATAGCCGATACTAAATTATTAAAGATGTATTCTTTGATTTTAAAAATTTTTTTAAAACATGCTAAGATATTGTCAACTGTTTCAAATGGTTGTTTTTTAAATGCTTTAAACAAATATTATACTAAAGCTTTTAATTTTTTATTATAACATCTTCAGATTCCAAAATCATAATAAAATTTAATTCTTCAAATTTATTTAGAATTAAGTGTAATTTGATTTTTTTTTCCTCAAAAATCAGATCTAAAGAAAATTGAGTATCCTTAATTTCTGATGTAGTTGAGTATTCTTCATGAATTTTATAAAGATACAATAAAAGACTGTTGTTAGTTTATCTAACTGAAGATTAATTTATGAACTATTTTGTCATCTCCTCATTTACGAAATAACCATAGGTTTTATTAGAGGATATTAACTAAAACTGCAAAATCTCTTTTCTAAACCTAAGAATGGCAAATGGTTTTGTAATAAGCTTTGGTATCAGTGATTCTTCAAATTATTATTTATTTTACCCCAATTATCATCTTTAAATTTGAATAAAAATGCAGATCTATGTAAATATTCAATTTTATAAATTAAATAACTGTAAGCAATTGATGTTGCTATTGTAAGTGTATACTATACTGGCAATAATTACCCAGAATTAAAGTAATTTATCAATATTCTTATAATTGTATATAAAATATTAACTAAAGTCGATGGTACAAAATCTAAACCAAATCCTATAATAGCATGAACAATCATAAAATTGCATCCCTTCAAAAATCCATCATAAGTATCAAAATCAGGCTCTGAATTTAACTCTTATAAGATTATTGCAAAATATATGAAAATTAAGAATTTGATAGAGTGCTTCTTTTTAATTCTGCTTATCAATAAACCAAGAATAAACGCTATCAATAATGAAAATACTTAATATAGATTATGATAAACTTTTGTTTAATACTAATTAACAAGCGTTATTATTATTATTATAATGCCTCCAAAACATAAGGATTGCGTTAGAGGAAACTATATAGATTCTAATTTTTCTTTTTAAAATTTTTTTTCTAATTGTTAATCTTAAAAGTTTAATCGAAATTTATTCATTATTTTAATATTTAACAAAAAACAAAATTAAATCAAACACTAATTAAATCATTTTCATAAGAATTTTAGAATTATTTTATAAATAATAAAGATTTAGATTGTTAACTTCATTAATTGAGGTATGAATTTTTATTTTGCATGATTAACTAATTAAGAAAAAATTTATATTTATTCAAAAACTATTTTATTAAAATACAAATAAAATCATATTGAATAGAATATATATATAATATAAACATAAATATAGAATAAGAAATAAAAATTAGTTTATTGTTATTTTTCTTTTATTTGATAACTAAAAAATTAACATATTTAAGAGAGAAAATGAAATCAGTATTAATGGTTTTTAAATTGGAATTTCAATATTTTTCCCAAATAAAAAGAGCCTTAACTCTTCATTAAAGAATATTATAAAATTGAATGAATATAGAAAGGAAATTAGTAATTTTAATAATTTTGAATTAAGGATACAAATAATTAAATCTTAGTACTCTATCTTAATTCTTCATTTCGTTCAATTAACATTATATAAATATCAAAAAAATTAAAAGATTACGATGAAGTGAAAGATTCAAAAGCATGATTATTTATTAAAATGAAAAAAAAAATTTAATTACTACTAATTATAGCTAGAATAATAGAAAATAAATAAACAAACCCATCAAAATTAAAAATTGCTAATAATTACTTGAAATAATTATTACTAAAATCTTTATTAATTATTTATTATATAATAAATATATAACAGTAATCAGACTATATATTTTCTTTTTTACATAAAGCATTTTCTTTTTTATAAATTTGATTATAGCTCACTTTTTTTTTCTAAAACTTATTATAATAAGGATTATGACCTTCTTTAACGAGGCTTTTCATATTTACTTAATTAAGCAATATTTTTTTTTTATATATACCTTGCAATATAATTGATTAATACTTATCCTCCGAGCATAAAATACTATATTTTGCAATGATCTCAAATACATTTTATAGTGAATGTATTTAAGAAGTTTGTGATGTTGTTGAACCATCTCTTTTATTCATCATTTTTTAGATTAAATAATAATTATATTTTTTTTATTAACATCTAAAAAGAAATAATTTTCAAAATATTTTTATACAATAATTAATTTAAAGATTTGATTTTAGTTAATGGAAATAAATTAACAACATTTAAGTATATTAATTTGACATTTTCTAAATAATTTTATGATTTATATGAATTTTTAAAAGTAATACAAAAATAAATGGTCAAATTTTAACATTTTCATAGAATATTGAAGTGATTAATTTTAATAATTCATCTTTATCATTTAAAGCTTAGAGATAAAATTGATTCTGGTTTTATTCATCATCTTCATTTATGTTTTGAGTATTTTCTTTCATCAGCTCTTCATTTTAATGTTCAAAAATTAGGGAATTCAATTTCTAAATTTAATCATTTTATTTAATTAATTATTTACATATTTCTAAGAAATTTTCATTTTATTATTCTTTAATTTCTTTAACTTCTTTGTCTTTTTTTTATGAATATTATATATAAAATCTTAAATTCTAGAATCATAAAAATTATTTACTTCTAATAAAGTAGATTATTCTACATGTCTTTCCTATTGTAATTAATTAAACTTAGTCAAAGAATTTCCTCTTGAATGTGAACCATGTTACATTAAATTAATTTATCTCTCCAAAGTGGCAATTTTATTATTTTTTTCTGTTATTTGTAATTAAAGTCTTGCTAAATTAGTTTCATCAGAATTCTTGAAAGATTAATTCATAGGTTGATCAAATTTATTCAAAGATTAGTTAATTTCAAAACAATTTGATTTTGGTGATAACCAAAGCTTTTATTCTAATTCAAGAATCTAACTATTATTAGAAGATAACAATCCTTATGATCTCAAATTATCTAAGTAATTTTTTTTTTCTTATTAGTTTGAATTTAAACATTCTTCTAACTCATTCTTATATTTTTCCATCTTTTTTTTATATGAAGTTGTTTCTTATTCATATTCATATAATTTTTTTCTGTATTTATGTATTTCTTATTCATAATAAGTTTACTTAGTTAAAAGTTTAAGATTTTCTTCCTTATAGACTAAAATTTCCTTTTTCAGTAATTCATTAGTTTTTGTTTCTAAAGAATCCCTTGGTTCTGATATTTCATAATCAAATGCTCTCTCTGTAGGTTAATTAGAAGATAATTAAGACTTTAATTTTTAATTTTTTTTTCTTTTTTTCGATATTTCTTCTTCTTAAACTTTGAGTAAAGCATTAAGATCTTCAATTTATTGTTTATTTTTTTCTAAATCTTCTTTAAATTCTTAAAATTTAAACCATGCTTCTTCAAAATCATTACAAATGACTTTATCTAAGAAAAACTTAACTTTACAAGCCATTTTCTCTATTATATCTGCCTACTCCACAATTTAATGGTGCATTTCAATAAATTTAGTTTGATAATCATTTTTCATTTATTCAATCTATTTAGTTTATTAAGTAATAATATTATCTTTACTATATAAATTCTCTTCTAGTGATATAATTGTACTTGTTGTATGATATTCCAATTAACCACAATCTTATAAACTATTGAGTTCCTAAAAATCACTTTAAATAAACTAAGCTATTTCTTCTTGTTACTGATCAAGACATTATTTCATAAAGTAAATGAATTCATCTTTTCTTGTATAAAAAAGGGTTTCAAGAAAATATTTGATAAAATTAGTTAATTCTTCATTGCAATCATAAATAGTGGTTTTATCAACAAATTCTTTTATTTAAAGGTTATGATTTCTTCTTATCCTTTATAAACTATTAATAATCTAGTTCCATAATACTTTTTTCAAATCACAATTAAAACTAATAAAATTTGGAGGATATTAAATACAAATCATCTTCTAACTATGCAAATAAAATTCCATCCTAAATCTCACTAAAATGGTGGATTTGTCTCTTTGGATAATTAAATTTATTAAGCTATACGATTAAAGAATTATTTTACTAATGCTATGACACTTTTCATAATTTAATAAAAAAATTTTGACAAGATAAATAAAAAAAAATAAATAATAAAATATACTCGTAATCTTAAAAAGACAGAAGAACCATTTATTTAGTTAACTTCTCTAGGTTTTTTATATTTGCCACTTTATTTACTTTAAATAAATCTTTTTTAAGGTTTGGTAAATAGTAACTCTAATTTTATATACTTGTAATTCGAAAACATATTATTAAAGTAATGAGTATTATTTTGAACAATTATTTATGTAATTTGTTATTCTTTCTTGCTTTCAATATATGAAAATTATTTATTACAAAAAATTAAAGTTTTCTTAAGATAAATATGAAATTAGATCTAATTTTATTTAATTATTTAAAAATTCTAATATAAATAAAAGAAAAAATATCTACAATCCATAAAGTAGGTTGTAAAGGGTAATTAACAAAATTTAAAAACTAATCATTTAGATGCAAAAATAAAACTCTAATGATTGATTTAGGGTCGCGTACTTTAAGTAAAAATGAGGCAAAATCAAAATCATTTTAATCTATAAATAACAAAGTTTAAAACAAGTTTTTTATATGAAGAAATAAGAATAACATTTGAATAAGCAAATAGAATTTGAAATGCTTTCAAAAAGACTCAAAGGATTTGAAAACATGATAAAATCTAAAAATTACGAAATTTATATAAAAGGTAGAACTAATTGTATTATAAGAAATTATATTAATGAAATATTCAATTTTGAACAAAAACATGAAATTGGTATATGACAAGAATATAAACTTTGCCAAATACAGCATTAATTTAAAAAATAATAGCCATAATTGATAAAAATGAATAAATTCTTAGAGCTTATAATTCAAAATAAAATGATAATATTTAGAAATCTCCTAGATTTTGATTAAATATTGTATTAAAAATATTTACATAAATTTATTGTTAACCAAATAGTTTTACTATTATATCCAACATCCATTCTATCAATAATATAGGACTTTTAGAAATGAAAATCATATTAATTATATATTTATTAATTAAATGAGTGACTCAATAGACTAATGTAATTAGTAATCTTGTTTTTAAGAAGATAACTTTCAAGGACCCAATTTGATGATGGTTTCTGAAAGAATTTTACTAGGAGATGGAGATTTCTTTTAAAAATCTCCTGACAGTAATTCAGTTTCTATAAGAGATCAATCAAAGAATTAAGATTTTAGCAAAGACTTAATAGATGCTGTTCCTATTGATATGCATAAATCATATAAAGGATTAAGAAAATCAGAATATTAATCAGCTTATGCAATAGAAGAGGAATTAGAAACTGGTGGTAAACCGTAATTCTTAAAACTTATAATCTCTAAGAGTTTACAAAATAACTTCATTAATAATTTATGGAATAGAAGCTATTTGAGAAAGTTACATTAACTAACATCTTTTCAAGTATAAGCTTTAGATGATTTATAATTTGAAAATGAAATTTATTAAGAAGAATATGATAGTAAGAAAGAAATCAACAATTGTGAAATTATTAAGAAGTTTTTTCTATAGATAGAAGTGTTTACGCCATATAGCAAATTAATTTTTATTTGGGATTTGTTTTAAATTTTCACATATGTTTTGATTTTTTTTTGGCTACCATATAAGATTTCATTTTAATTAGATTTCATTGGATAATTATTAAATGAAAAATCCTAAAATTAAATGATTGAGATACTTTTATTGACAATATTAAGTTTTGATGTAATTGTTGGATTGAATTTAGCATTTATATATAAAGGGATAATAATTAAAGATAGAAAAAGAATAATTGCAAATTATTTCAGATAATATGCATTTGTAGACCTTGTAAATATAAAAATGTATATTAGTAAATAAGGTTTCAATAAGTACAGTGACAATTCAATTCTTTATATTAAATGATAGTCAAGAAGATCATGAAATAGATAATAACTTAACATTATAAATAATATTTTGTGTAATATTTTATGTATTAAGAATGACTAAAATAAATAAAATATTAGCATAGATATAAGAGTATAATATTGAATAAATTAATAGATTTTTTAATTTAAATGGATCCTTAAATGATTTAGTTGGATTACTAAAGTTAACAATGATAATATTATTTATTGCCCATATTTGTGCTTGTGTTTGGCATGGAGTAGCATTTTATAATGATTCTTATTCTTGGTTAGATGCATATAATTTGAGAGATTAAGGAAATGCATCAAAATATAATACAGCAATATATTGGGCTACAATGACAATGACTACAGTTGGATATGGAGATATAACAGCAAAAAATAATTATGAATTATTGATAAATAATTTGACTATGTTTATAGCATCAATAGTTTTTGCATATTCAGTAAATAGTATTGGAATATTTGTATCAAATATGTATAAAGGAACTATGGAATACAGTAGAAGTGTGACTTTAATTAATACTTTTATGTCAAAAAATAAGATTTAATTTGAATTATAGACTAGGATCAGAAGTTATTTAGAATATATTTGGTAAGAAGAATAAAATATGAATGATGATGAAGTTTCACAAATAATATGTAAATTAAGTAGTCATCTTTAAGAGGAACTTTAGTTTTAATTAAGGGGGAATATTCTTAGAAATTGTAAGGTTATGATAAAAATATTTTCTGAAAAAATGATCAAATGTTTATTAGGATAGATGGAGGAATAAAGTTTTTCCCCTGAAGAAAGAATTATAACTATTAATTAAATTGATGATGGTTGCTTATATATTATTACAAAAGGAGAAATTGAATTAATTTTTGAAGGCATGAATAGTTTAAATGATAGAGTAAAGAAAAATAGTTTAAAATTTTTAACGACAGGTGATTTCTTTGGTGAATTATCATTTTTTACAGGAGAACCAAGAAAATGCACAGCAATTTCTAGAGGATTCACAAAAGTATTTAAAATAAATAGAGAGAACTTCTTGAAAGTATTATCTTCTTTTCCAAATGATTATGAAAAATTTTGTGAAGTGAAACATTAATTAAAATAAGGAGATTTTAGTTCATTATAGATATCATGTTACAGTTGTTAAAGTAATTAACATTTGATGGATTCTTGTAATTATTTGCATTTTTGTGTAGATAAGGAGGCAATTTTAAAAAAAGAACTTTATCCTTATTATTAAAATCGATCTAGATTAACTATTAGAGGTGCAAAAACATTTAAATATAAATGGAATCTATATAAACATTTAATTTAAAGAGCGAAAGATTTTTAAACTGATTTTTATTAATAACGTACAGAGAATGAAATTGATGAAAATGAATAACCTTCACAAATTGCTAATGATAATTTCACTTATGAAGATGAATCAAAAAGTAAATATTTTAATTATTATTATTTAGTTGAAATTGATGTACCTTCAACATTGAATTAAAGAAGTAATTCAAGAACATTAAGTAGAGTAAGTTCAAAGCCTAATTAAGTTGTTTATGAAGAAGATGAAGATTAAAAAATGTATACAAGAAAAGTAGTAAATCCAAGAGGGACATTATAAACAGCAGGATTTGGTAGTGCAAGTTTAAGGGAAAGCAAAAAATTTGATTTAACTAAAGATTATGAAATAGAATAACCTATTTCTGAAGAATCATCATCAGAGGAAAAAGATTAAATCATTATACCTTCAGTGTAAAAATCGACTTAAGATCGTCTCATAAAATAAAAAATTACTTTTATTAGAAAAGAATCATCAGAAGATATAGTACCTAGATAGGCATCTCTTCGTTCTAGAACTCTTACTTAAAATAAATTACAATAAGAATTATTGAAAAGAAGCACAACTCCAGATAAACTTACTTCGGAAATAGAAATATCACCTAATAATAATAATAATATCAAAAGATAAGCTGGAAAGAAACAGTCTATGGCAAAGACTTTTTCTAAGTAAATTTAAGAAACTACAGAAGCCAATTAAAATATGACTTCCGGAATGGATAATTAAACTTATTTACCAACAATACCTTAAATATTTTCTCAATTTGATAAAATGTAGATATTTACTCATTTTTTTCCTTTTAGTAATTACGATATTGTAATCAAAAGATATTCAAGAATTTAAAAATTCTTTGGTAAAAAAAGATAGTATCCTGAATCATCAAAATACTCATTTTATTTTATGACAATTAAGAAAGGGTGGAAATTAAGAAAACTTGGAGAAAAACTTTAAGGCTTTAGATTAGTAGATAACATAAAGAAACCATTTGTTAAAACAATCTAAGTAGGCAAAGTTATTAGAACCAAAAATGTATTAAATACTTTAGTCAATAATGGATAACCAAGTCCTATATTGAAAAATGGATAAGATAGATTAGAAGATAATTAATGAGATGATTGAAAATAGTATTACATATTTCATCAAAAGCAGATAGAATCGTTATTTAATTTAATTTATTTAAATAATGTTTTATATTTTTGTCCTATTCTTAGATGATATGAGAAATTTCTTACTTTTTGATATCACCTATTTGTTTAGTTATTTAAAAAATATTTGAAATAATAATAATAGATGAAATAATTAGTTTTATTATTGTACTAAAATATGTAAATATATAGATATCAATCATCATTTGCACCATGTACTTATCCAAATGAATTATTTCCTTAAGATTATTATTGATTATGATTGTTATTATCAATTAAGTTATCATCTCCTCCTGTATCATCATCTTCATCTTAGACTTTATCAGGATCAAAAAGACCTAAATCATCAGGATTTACTTCAGTGTATGGATGTGGGAATGGTTTTTCACTTTCATCAGAAGGATTAACAAAAGACTTTTTTAAAGCTAATTTATGTTTAACTTCTTTAAGAAATACTATGCTCAAAATAGCTAAAGCATATAAAGAACATATTATTGTAATTCCAATAAATCCATCAAATCTATAAAATTAATATATATATAATACTTAGAAGCATCTTTACCATGAATAATCATACTAACAATTTGAGCAATAAATGAACTACCCATGGTAGCACCAGAATATTATAATCCTATACAAAAAGAATCATTTAATGGATATATTTATTCACAACCCCATTCTAATAATAATGGAATTGCAGGTAAAATGAAAAAACCTTAAAGAGTAGCCATTGCAAGCATAACTACATAGTTTTATAAATAACATCCCCAAAGGAACCCATAGAAAGTAAAAATAGTGCTAAATTCTAGAATAATAATAATTGGTTTATATTTTCCCCAACTCTTATAAATAGTTGGAATAATTAAGGAACTAAGAAAGCCTCCAATAACAGGCATAACCGATAAAATGGCAATATCAGATTTACCATATCCATAAGGTTTCAAAATGTATACTAAAGCGACTCCATAGCCTTTGTATGAGCCATAAAATAAAGTAAATGATATGAATATTTAAATCTAAAATTTAGAATTATTTAAATTACAAATTTAGTGTCTTTTAACATTTAACAAATGCTATCAGTAAATGAAATCACTTTAGTAGATCCTTTTGCAGCAGCTGAAGGTGGACTTTTAGGTTTTGTTTCAAAAAAGATTAAAAGAGGAATTAAAAACACTGCAGAAAATACTGCTTCTGAAAATAGTAAATACATAAATCTTGAATCTCCTGTATCTAATACATCTTATGGAGAACGTTCATCAATGGTAACTCCAGCAAAAAATATTGGTGGAATTATATATCCCAAGATTCCACTAAATGTGACTATAAAATTCAACATAGTCATCAATTTAGTTCTCTAGCTACTTGGAAACCATTCCACTGCTACTGAAGCTTAAGCATTCAAAATTAATGGTCTACCTATACCACATAATGTTTAACCAATTAAAACATAAATGAAACTAGTATTATAATAATATTCATACGATTATCTAACTAAACATCTTGAAAATACACCAAGCAAAGTTAATATGGATCCTATTTTCACTGACATACTACTTCCTTTATACATTATCAAATAACTAGCTGGAAATGTAAACAATGGATGCATAAACAAATATAAAGTTGCAGATAATGTAACTACAGAAGTACTTTCATTATATATGTTGCTTAACTTTTATTCTATTTTATTTATATTACTTCAACTGCAATAGGATTACAAGTAGCATACATGGCTGTATTACATAATTCTGCCATTGTGAATAAAAATAAAATTATAAATCTCTTTTAATATAGCTTATATCCTTATTCCATACTTTATTTTGAAATTGTTGAATTATTTATTGTATTCTTTTGATCAGAATTCTTTTCAGAACTTTTAGCATTCATTATTTTTATAATAAATTTTATTTTTTAACTATTAAATCATTTAAGTAAATTTGTTTTAAATTATTTATTAATCATAATCCATCATGTTAATTCATCTATTAATCAATAAACTATTTCATCTATTTTTTCTTATCTTTATTTATTATATTTATTTATTCTACTCAATTTTTATCTTTATAAAATCAAATTATTGTACTCACTATATTAACCTAATGTTGACTCCAATCCATTTCTATCATTATAACATTTTCATTTGCTTTATATTACAATACCAATCCTTCATTTACATTAGCATATTCTAACAATCTCCACATTATAGGCATAAATTTTCAATAATAATTATTTTTTTATTTTCAACTAACCATTTATTAATTATTCAAATAATTAAGTAGCTCTTTTTGAATTTTCCCCAAATTGGTAAATAAAATAATAATAGAACTTATCCCTACTCGGAATCATATTCTCAAATTTATTATTATCAGATGATTATGGAAAACTTCCTGTCTAAAATTTTGTCAATGGAATATTATTTTCAACGTTTTATGAAATTGCCTTTTCTAACAAGCCTCCATAAAAATCTCTAAATCAATTTATCCATCTTTTCTTATATATAAATAAGATAATTAAATTTCAACTACAAATTACTTCTCTTATTAGTATTTAGATCTTTTAATAAATGAATCAATATAAATATTAAATTATTGCAATACCTCTTTTTGTATATTCATTTTTTAAATACTCATATAATAATTCAATATCATCATAATTTAAAAATACTAATACTTAAACAGCTGAATATGATGAACTATTCATCCTCATTGAAAGTGCTAGATTTTCACATGCAATTACTTCAGCAATATATATTTTATATTCTCTTAATCTTCTTTATAATTAAATGAATGTGGATTTTAGTTTCAAATTTATACAAAATCATTTAATACCATAAATTACAAACTATATATTTTTAAAAAGTACAATTAATTTTGAATATTTTTTATTGCTATTTTGTAATAATAAAAAAAGGTTCTCTATTTCATCAATTTTTCTTTAAATCTATTTTGACCTTTAACTCCAAGAAAAAAAATTAATAAAAAAATAAATACTTTAATTAATTAAAATAAGTAAATATGTTTAAAATATAAAATTAAAAGGTGATTAATATATATTCAAAAATATTTAATATTCAATATTGTTTCAATACTAAAGCAATATTTATTCTTATGGCTTTGAAGCAGTTACATATTTTTTAGTCTTCTTTTAAATCTACTACTAATTTTGAGAATTTAAATTTCTTGAATCAAAAGCAGAATCGAATAATTTATATTTAGAATCATATAAGGTATTGAATAGAACCTGCTTTTAATTACTATTTATATCATCAAATATTTTATATTTTCTGGTATTTGTCAAATTATTAGAATCTTAAACTTATTCTTGTTATTTTTTTATAGGATACAAATATTAATTTAAGATATCTTCAGATGGGTCATTTTGAGTGTCCATTATTTTAACAATCTAATCATTTGGTTAAAATTATAAATAATGTTCTAATTTGTTGTTATTATAATAATTGTTATAATTTTTTTTAATGTTTTTTTTTTTAGATGGTTCATTTTTTATAGATGCTGATGGCCTTAGATATTTGTCTAAAATCTAATCTTAATATTTTGGAATATCTGTAGGAGGATTTGTTTCCCAAAACTTAACAGTTGTAATTGTTTTATTGTAATCGAATTTATTATCTTATTTTGTGATTTAAAAATCCTAATAATTTATATTATGGTAATTTTAAGATTATGGTAATGGAGATTTGAAATTTTATTAAGTTGAGTGTGGTTTAAAATGTTATAGAGTTTGCGTATTATCTGGCTTTTTTCCTGTGTAAAATTCATAGTTCGACATTTCTGACTTTTTTAAAAATGGTACAGAAGCAACTTATTAAAGCATTTTTTTGTCTTCTTCTTATTCTTAAGGAGGAGATGAAGGAATTTCTTGTATAATAATTCCTACAGATTTAGATTACAATAATTCTGGAGATTAAATAATTTCTGGAGTAGGTTATCTGATTGTTATAAGTCGATAATCTGGAGATTTACTAATCATTACTTAGAATGGTAAGAGAGGACAATTTTTGATGAATATTTCAGAAGGAATATTCTCTTCTGAACATTGAATTCTTTTTTTTAAACAAAAAATATCTTAAGAATTGTAATTAAATTATTATTTTTACATAAAATTGATTAAACTAATATATATAATCTTAAAATACTTCTATGATGTTATGAATTTTTGATTATCCTCTAATAATGCACAGGATTGTTTTCCGTTTTCTTTGTATTTTTCAAATAAGATCATTCTAATAGGTTCTGCCTATCTAAAGTAAGTTATTTCAATCATTAAGAGTCGTTAAAATTTTTGTAAAATATCAGAAACAATTTATTCATTAACATTGTCATAAATTTTTGTATCTAAAAACATATCAAAAGGACAGATTAGCTAATAAAAGTCATCCCAATTAATGTAGAAATTATCAGATGAATACAATTAGAATATATAATCTAATTCTCTTTAGGTTATGTTTTATATAAAGTTTCTTTATAATATAGATATTATTGATACCTAAATAAATTGATTAGATCATCTCTTGTGATTCCTTTTGAATCTGTAATTAATAAATTATAGATTGTTCTAGCTTAAAAATGAGGAGTGATGCTCAATAGAATTCTTTATTCTTCAAGCTGATAATTATTATGATCTCATACTTTAGTTTCAAAATGACTGGTCATTTTTAAGAGTTAAGTAACTTTGTTTAAATATTCATTAGTCAACATTTTAATTAATAAATCATAGAATAAAATGCTCAATCAAATTAAGAGTCATCAAGGAATTTTTTTTCTTGTAATCCTTAATAGGTAGTAAGTCCCATTTGATTTTCAGGTGTTGTGTATTCTTTGATTTTCTATCCTTTTTCATGAATCTTTATATAAAATAAAATATTTACTTTATCAATTTCTTCTAAAGCATCAATTAATTTTTATTGAGTAGCAAAATGAATGCCTTCTTTTTATTAAATAAAATTTGCTGAGGAAGGTACAAATTAATGAAATGGTTCTTCTAAATCATTTTATATAATGGCATCAATTCGTCTTACATTAGATATTGTTTATTCAAGTAATCTTCTTAAGATTGGATTTTTGCTTGCAGCTTATAAGATTTCTTCTTTATTTAATTCACCGTCTCCATCTTAATCAACTTATTTAATCATTTCTCTAATAACCATTTTAAGTTAATATTTATCATTTTCATTTATGATATTTTATTTTAAAATATTAAAGATTTCTTTTTCACTAACTTTACCAGATCCATCTTCATCACATAAATCAAAAAAGACTAATATATATATATAAACTAAATTACTTTTTAATTTTTCATCAATTGTATCATCTTTTAAAACTTCTAAACCAACAATGAGTTCTTTATAATCTACAGTTCCACTAGAATCTTCATCAAAAACATAAAATAATTTTTCAGCTAAATTTTTATCTGCCCCTAATCCAAAAGAAATTAATAATCCTTAAAATTCTTCTTTATTTAATCCATCAGGAAAGTCTTTAGCTTATTTTACTATAGATTAATAATTTTAGAATATTTATCTAATAGCATCTTTTCTATTTTTTAATAACCATTAAATAGTTTTCCACTTCATTTTAAATTTAGATTTGGGTGCAATCTTTTTTTTAAAGGATTATAAGTTAAATCCATAATCTTTTCTGGCAACATTTAACATTATACTAATAGATCCACTAGCAACAGGTAAAGCTTATTAATTAATTTTACTTTGCATAGAGTATTTTTACTTATTGCTTGTCTTTTTGTCATAAATGAATCGATAGATTTATTCCATTCTTAAATGTTAAGGTGCATTGCATCTATGTTTGAACTCTAATATACTAAATAGAAATACTAAACAGTTCTTAATCATGAGAAGTCTTAATAATTTAATCAAAATCTTCATCTTCTATAGGTTTAGATTTAATTGTTTTGCTGATAACAAATGATTTTATAGGTTTTGCAGTTGTAATTCTTGTTTAACTACGATTCGATGAAATAGTTTATTATGGAATGGTTCTATTACTATGAATAGTATTAGCTGTATTAGCAGATTAAATCCTATGATAATATTCAGTAGCTTATGGTCTAAATCCAGAGATTGAGTAAGAAGGTTTATGAATTTACATAAAAATATATATAGAATAATCAAATAAATGAATATGATTCATTATGATCATCAATGTAAACACTAGCTTAATGTTTAGAGTTATCTAAATCTATTGGTTCAAATTTTATGATTTCTATGTTGCTCAATTGTGTTACTTTATGAGATCTAATAATATTACATTACAAAATTACTATTTTATTGCTATGATTATTCTCATAATCTGTATAAAATATCGCAATATTATTAAGATCAATCCTAGAGAGTCGTCTACTTCGATGATGTCTGTCTTAATCGATCTAAATTCATTTTATTCATATAAAGTTACGAATGCAATTCAAATATGTAATATAGGCTGATCAAAATCAATATTAAGATGAATGCTGATAAATCAATGATATTCCAATAATCCTTAAAAAAGTACTTTTAATAATTATTTTTAGATTTACTTCTCTTTCTGCAATTATTCTGATGCAAATATCTATCATCATTGCTAATGTCAATATTATTTCTGCTTCGATTACCATATTCTCCTTCAAACTTAATTATATTTCATAGCTTACTTCTATTCTGGGTCAATTATTATCTAAATGTTAAAAGTTCATACATACACTAATATCATAATTGAGAGCAATACCTGCACGACAGAAAACATTAAGTAATGTTTGTGCATTCTTAAATTTGTCATCAAATGTTTACAATTTTATTTCATCTTAATTATATTATTATAAAAAAACTATGCTTTTAGATTATAAATTGTAATAATAGGCTTTCAAATAAATATTACCCATATAATAAATCTAAGAGTAATTTAATTGCTTTAGAATCCAAACTCTAATTTATTTTAGAAATCCTTTAAATTTAAAAAGAAATTGAAAAATAAGATCATTTTTCCTTTTCAAAGAAGAGAATTGATCTTAAATTCATTATTCAAAATTGAATATATAAAAATAATTGATGAAATAACAGATTTTTAATACCATTAAATTCATTTTCTTTACAATAATAATCTAAAATATTTAATAAGGATATATTATTGTAACTCTAACTAATTTTGATTAAAATGCATTCAGTTAGAACTTTGAATAAATAGTCATCATTATAAGCCATAGAAAATATGCAATTTAATTAAGTATTGGATAAAAAAATAAAAATTTTAATATTAATATGTGAATTTATCAATAATAACTTTAGATTGAGCTGTCAGAAATAAAGAAATATTAAAGATTAGAATATTATAACTGAAAACTTAATCCTAAATTTCATAAGCAGGAAAAAAGTAAGTTTTAGAAGAATCAAAAATCTTACTAAGGGACATACTGCTATTGTTAATATGAAAATTAATGATATAGACAAACGAAAACCTGTAAATGAAGAATTAAATCTAAAAGATCAGATAAGCTTACTTTTCTAAGTAAAAATGATAAGTAAGTTCTTAAAGCTGTTGAACAGAAAATGGAATTGTTATTAAATTTTAAGTACAGCTTTCCATTTCATATGATATCTATCGAGAGAATATATATTATAGAGTATGTAAATGAAATTGATTAAGATAAAATTATCATTATTAAAGTAGAATCATTAATTATTACATATTTAGTAGTGGATAAAAGATGATGTAGAATCTATATATGAACTAAAGGAATTCCATTCGATTCAAGAATTGTAGGTAAGTCTGATATATTAAACTGTCATGCATAATAAATATGTAGAATCGCCATCATATTCTATACATTTATTAAGTTTACTGCTTAAATTGAAATTGTAGTCTATTTATCAACAGAAATTGATTCACCAACATTATGTTGACTAAATTTAAATCTGATAAGAAAAAACAAATACATATTAATAATTTAAATGAAGATAAGTTTTGTTTTATTCTCTAAATAATAAATCTATATGGTTTAACTAAAATCTTAATTGAAAACGAAGGGAAGTTCAAAATTTTATTTACTTATTTCACAATAATATTTTTGAATACAACTTATTTTAATTCAATTTATATGTGAAAGAAAAGGATTTTAATAAGATTTGTGATCAATAAAATGATCAATTTCGAACAAGACCTTTTAAAGTTAATCTAAAAAATGAAATAAATTTTGATTTTTTTCATAGACAATTTATTATATATATTTAAATAAATTTGAGTTTTATAATGGAGTTCAATTCTACAGGCTTACATGTTTAACCCCATTTAACTATAAAAAAAGAAATTTGGAATTAATTTGTATGCGAATTTCCTCGATGTTCAAATTAATTCAAATTATCTGAAAATCCATAGGATAAATATAAATTTCTTTCAGCTTTGATGATTGCTAATATTTTTGATGCATTGACATGTTGGCAACAATTAAGAAAACTATATGATGTTTACGAATCTTTGGGAAGGATTGTTAATGACAAAGTCAATCCTTTACCAACTTAGATGTAAAAACACATTTTAAATTTAATAAAATCATTTAACACTATTATAGACAATTTATAACTCTTTGATTATCGTAAAATTGAGAATAATAATCTTTAACATTATTAAAAGATATAAATAGTTTAAGACTACATATAAAGATAAAGAAAGTATATTTACTCTCTCTTAAAAAATGAAGAAGGAATTAATAATCTATTTAAATTATCTAGAGGAATAGCTTTAAGTTTATATCTTAAGCCTGATTACGAAAAGATCACTCCTGTAGCAAGATTTTTAAAATCTTTAAGTAGGGAAGAGATAATTAAATAATTAAGTAATGATGATATTTAAATCAATCAAAAAAATTATTTTATTTTAGAAGATTATGAGGTGATAGCCATTTCACATTTATTTAGTTTTCCTATTCATTTTTTTATTAATTATTTTGAACCATAAGCTAATTATCTCATAAAGAGAAGAATTCATTAATAATAAAGTGAAGAAAAAACTATTGCTTTTTTTCTTGATATCCAATCAAGTAACTCCAGTGTAAGAATTCTTTCATGTACTTCAGATATTATACATATATAAAATATAATTAATCAAAAAAAAAATTTGTTTCAAACCAATTAACCAAGAGCAATTATAGAATAGATGTAATTAATTATGGAAAGTATTTTAAATTAAGCAATGCATGATTTTTCAAATATAAATAAATTTTGGATTGTTAAAATGTTATAGATTATAAAATAAGGAGAAGCATAATCTCTTGTTGCTAATAAATAAGCAATAAAAATCAATGATTAATTTAAAAGAGAAATTTTTAATTTATTTTAATGCTTAAATTTTGATATTAAATTACATGAAGAATTTGTATAGATATCAGAAGCTAATCTATAAGAAACAGAAGAACTTATTGAAAATATAATAATATCTTAAGTATCAATGATTAGAGATTAAATAACAGATATAATTAATAATTATTAGAAACCTCAATCTATTTCTATAAATTAAGTAGCTTCTGGTGATTAAGTTTCAGTTCCAAGATATTTAGTAAATAATTCTTTATTTCCATCCCAAGTAAATCAGGCTCCAAATTACTTTTAATAATAAAAAAAATTAAATTTAGCAGGTAGATTGATAGCTAAAAATCTAGATAATGATTTACCTGATAATTCTGATTCAAGTGATAAAGGATTAAAAAATAGAAATTTTGTTTCAACTAATATTATATAAAATGTACCAGTAGTATGCAAAGAGTATGATACTGAAGATGAAAATGATTTTAAACAACCTGATGATTAACCATAAGAGGATAAAAAAATATAAAAAGATTAATAATATAGTTCTAATGAAAATGGTCTAATTAGACCACCAAGATATTAAAATTAAAGAAATTAATTTAAAAGTGAAATTTTAAAGAAATAGGTAATTTAAAATTCAGATAAAAATATATTTTCAGAAAAGAAAAGATAAAAAAGTGTAGAGAATATAGATTTAGAAGCAAGTTTGAATTTATAAAATGAATATCTTGTTTCTAGTTAAAATAGGGCATCTATTTTAAGAGGTACTTCAGATTAAAATGCTTTAAAATAATCATTAAAACAAAGAGATAGTTTAGATTTTGAACCAAAAAAATAAATTATAAATTAGTAAAATAGAATGAGTAGTTCATAAATTATGAAAAACAGTATGAGGCTTGAATAAAAAGAGGCACTAACAAATGAATTATATTAAAGTCATATATCTGAAGCATTAAATGAATCAAAAAGTGAAATTAGTATGATTTAAAAATGGTTTTGTCCTATTTGTTTTACAGAAATCTTTCAACCTGATTTAATAAGAAGTTTACATGATGATCATAAAGTTTGTAAATCTTGTTTAGAGGATTGGATTAAAGTATAATATATATATATAAATTATTTTATAGGTTAAATTTAATGCTGGATAATGGAATTTTAAATTTTTTAAATGTCCAATATAATTAATTGAAAGAGAAACTATGAAACCTTGTGAGCATATAATTGAATAATAAGAAATTAAAAATGCTTTATCTGCTGAAGAATTTAGTAAATTAACAGAGAGAGCAATGAAACATGGTATAATTGATATTATTTGTCCTAATCAATCTTGTTCAGCAAGTATTAAAGGAATGCCTCCATAGAATAAAAATGGATTTTTATGTCCTAAATGTAATCATAAAATATGTTGGGTTTGCAAGTAAATTTATAAATGAATTTTAAATAATAGAAATTCTGACCATGGTGATTCAAAATGTCCATAAAGATTAGATGAAATAAAAGTAGCTTTATAAGATGAAAGAGTTAGTTGTTGTCCTGGATGTTTAGAAATATATATGAAAAATGAAGGTTGTGAACATGTCTCTTGTACTAATTGTTTAATTGAATTTTGTTTTGCTTGTAGTGCTCATAGACCTCCAATCATAGGACATGGTTATTATGTTATTAATAATATTAGGAGCTCATTATCATAGAGTTGGTTGTTAATATAGATAAGCTTGGTGGGATAAAAATAAAAATATAGAAAATTTAATGGAAGAATATGATCCAATAGATTGTGAGTATTGTAAAAGAGATAAAAAACCATGTCCTCGTCCAATGAGTTTGACTGATTTTAAGAATTTAGCTCATTTAAACTTTTGATTTAATTAAAAGTTATTGCTGATTTCTTTATTTGGTTATAATTATAAATTGTTCTACATCTAAATTTATATTGGATTTCATAAAAGTAATAGTATATTTAGATTAGTTTATTTAATATTATAATCATTAGTATATTTTCATTACAGATGTTATAGGATTTCTACAAATCAAACAATCCTTTTTAATTAGCTCTTTACATTCTTTACAATAAATATAATGACCGCATGGTATAGCTACATATTCTTTATCTTTTTCAAAACATATTTAACATTTTTTATCATCATTTATTGATTTACTTAAATTAGTTTATTGTGTTATTTTCGTTTCTATTTTCCATAATAGTTATTTTATCTCTTTATTCTAAGGATGCACTTGTAATTCTTCTTGTATAGTAAACAACTTATCAAGATTTTTTTCAATATTTTTCAAATTCTTATCTGATGGTTGAAGTACTTTGATATTTTCAATTATGGCATTTTTAGCTGATAAAAGTAATTATGTTGATATTTCTGATTATGATTACTATAATTAAACCTATTAAGTTTTATCATCCATTTAAGATAGAACATTCATTATTCTTTTTTTGTACTGATCTAATTTGATGCTCTATTCAGATTTAGTTGTTTATGTAGCAAAAGTTTTGTTTATGTCCTTTTTTAATCTATCAATACTTGTTTATGAATATAAAGTATTATTATTTTATTTCATTTATAATATAGAAATATATTAGTTTAGTTTTTCATTCACTCTAAAAAAAAGGGTTATTGTTTGTATAATTTTAGATTTATCTATAAATATAAACTTATGCTCATCAATTTTCATCTTTCTAATATTTTTGTTTTAACTCTTATAATTCTTATGTTAACTTTTAATTTTCTTAAATAAGCTATTAGGATTTTAAATTCCAATTCTATTATAAAATTTGAATTAAAACCTTTGATAAATCATCCAATTATGCAAATGACTAAACAGAGAGAATATTGAGTTATTTCAATAAATCTTATCTAATTTAATCTTATTCTTCCAATTTTTAAACATTCATCTGAGAATGCTGTTTATTTTCTTCGATTTATTAGATCAAATTCTAGAATAACTATTGATTTACATTTAATTTTTCTGTATTTTATTGACTCTTTTTTTTAGAATCTTATTATGCAGAATACATTTCATATGTTGGAAGAGTTATTAACAATGCATAGATAAGGATTTCATAAAAGAATTCTACTCCCTTACAAACTTATAAATTTTGTTTACTTTTTCTAAAGCAACTTCATCATTTAAAGGTTTAAAGAAAAAATCACTACTTTTCTTATCAATACCCATAAATTTGCTATCTATTTTTTACTATATTTCAGAATTTCATTACATCCCATTTATGTTAAAAGTTTCCTAATCGAACATAAAATTTCTTAACCCAATTAGTATGTCCTGATTAAGCTTTCTTTAAGTGTGCAGCCTTTGTTCTTGCAATTACAGGTCTTGCAAAAACTCTGACAACTAATGAGAATACTTTGAATAAGGGCAACATCGTTATTAACTATAATAATAGATAAATAAAATAATAATCAATTAACATGGTTAAATAGTTTTGTTCGAAAAGCTATAAAGAATCATTATAATTTATACTTTTTGAAGGTGGAGGAGAATTGCTATATACAATTTATCTTTCATTTGAAAGCTATCTGGATCTTTCCATAGTACTTACAGTAAATGAAGATTAATGATCATGAGATAAATCCCCTATCAAATAGCCATATTCTCTAATAAAATTAAAGAACTTTTGATCTAAAGGCTTTAAAAGTTTTATTTAAATTATATCACTTTTATTTTTTGGGCTTCTCTCTTGATCTTAATAAGTAGTTGAGTTTATTTTAGAAAAAGATTAATCTGATTCTATCCCTGAAAATAACCTTTTTTAAAGAGAAAGATCCTATTTAGATTGCTATGATGAAGATCTTTGATCTATATTCGATTTAGTAGAATTTTAAAACACTTTAATTTAAATTCCCTTTTCTCCATCTTCAATTTGCATTCCCCTTGTATTTCTTTGTTAAAGATTATAAATTTATTGAACTTATTTAATATTCTAACTTCCTTAGTTAATTGGATTCTTTATAGGTTTAATGTCATATTCTTCTAATGTTTTTTACTGTATTTTATTAGATGCTGCAAATCTCTGTTAGTACATTATTTTATTTATCTGAAATAATATATTAAAAAATTTAATATTGTTAAAGTCGTAAACTTACTTTAAAACATTCTAAAATCAAAAAACTATTTAATCAACAATCTCACTTATCTCAATTATCCTAAAATACTTCATAACAATTAATAATTATTCAAAAGTAATTTAATATATAGTATCATCAAAAATAAATGAAAATTATCTTATTTTTTTCAATTTAATACTAATACATAATGCTGTAAATTAAATAAATTTATTTTGGAAAATGATACATAGTATTTTAAATTTAGATTTTCAAATATAAAACTGGTTGAGGTACTTAGATGGAAACTAAAATTATATAGATTCGAATTTATAGTGTTTTTAGGAGTTTTGACATATGATAAAGAAAGAAAAAGAACTTCATATGAATCGAACACATTTCTTTCAAAAGAATAAATCAATGAATTAGTTTATAAAATATAACAATATATAAAAATTAAGAGTTGCAAACTCATCCAATTAATTATGTTAATAATATCAATATTAAAAAGAAAATAATTATTAGGAGGAAGTAATAATAAAATTTAGATATATGAATAATAGGAATCTCATAAGCATTGATATTATTAAAAATGGGTTATAATGTAACTGTTTTAGAAAAAGAAAATAGTGTTTCAACTGAATGTAGTGCCTTTAATTCAAGCATTTTTTATCCCACATAATTTTTACATTTGATCAAGAAAGTAATAAATCTATATAAAAACTAAGCATTTAAATTATATGATAAATAATTTATATGAGAGCCATAGATGACTACATTTAGATTTAATATAAATGCTATTTTAGAAACAGATTTTTTAATGGGGATTAAATAGTTTATTATTGAATATGAGAAAGTATTAAATTTAAAAATAATAAATTTAGAAAAGATTAGATAGAGAATTCAAGAAAGTAATTGAGAAATGAATAAACTTTAGAGGATGTTAAAAATTTAAAGTCGTTAGGTTTATTTAGAGGACATTAAATTTTAAAAAGTCAATTAAAACTTTTTTTTCAGTTTAAAAAGTTGATCATTAAAGATATAGATTAAAATTATTAGAAATACCTCATATTAAAGTGGATTGAATAAATAGAGAAATATACTAAATCGAATTTAAAAACTGAATCCAATTTAAAACTTTTCAATAGATTTTAAAATGGGTTGATATTGTCTTCTGAATCTAATTTAGATACAAGTGAATAAACATAAATTATGCTTAAGTATTGCCAAAAAAATTATCCAAAGTAATTTTAAATTGCATTTACAACAAGAGCTTAAAACTTTGTAATAGATTCTGATGATAATATCATCGGAATATCAATAAATAAAGGGTATATAATAATTTAAAATAATATAGAGTTGTTTTAGGAGAGAATTTAATTATTTGTTTAGAACATAAAAGTAAAGAATTAGCATTTAAATTAAGACTTAATCTTCCAATAGTTCCAATAAAGGGTTGGACATTAGAAAGATTTGTTCCAAAAAATTTCAATTAAACTTTAATTTAAGAATTCACTTTAAATACTCCAAATTATTTTGCATTAAATTTAAATGGACATTTAAGATTAGCAGGATTTATAGATGATACTCTATCTATTGATGCAAGTAGGGAATGGGGAGCTATTTAAATATTAAAAATATTTAATGAATAAAATGGATTTGATTTTGAAATGAGTGATTTTACTGTAAAAAGTTGTTTTAGACCATTAACACCAGATGATGTTGCAATAATTAGTGAAGTACCTGGATTTAAAAATATATTTATTAATACAGGACATGGAACAAGAGGAATGAGTTATTATTATAGTGCAGCTGATATTATGAGTTAAGTTATGGAAGGATCTAAAGCATTTGAAGACTACAGTGTGAAGAGGTTTTATTTTATATGATTTATTAATAAATATTCGTTAAATTATGTAAAAAAAAAAAGGACATTCCAAAAATCTATCTAAATAAGCTGTTGATCTTATTAATTACTATAATAACTTAAAGACTTCTATTACTAATGAATGTGCTATGATAAATTTAAATAAAAAAATGTCAATATACATTGCAGATTAACGTAATACAATTTCTAATTCTAATAGCTATTGCAGAAGAAGATGTTGAAGATTCTCCTATTGGACTTAAAAGATATTGCTCAAAAACAGAACATGTCAATATCAATATTTATTCATAAACTTATGATTTAGATGAAGAATTATAATAAGATGTAAAATAGTTAAAATAAACTTTGAATTAAAGTATTCACCATTTATTAAAATTAGGAATTACATAATTAAAAAGCATTATTAATCAATCAGAAAAAATGAAGACCATGAAACACTCGAATAATAAAGAAAATTAATGCTAAAATAATCAAAATGCTGCTAATAAAATTTCAATTAAAAAAAGAGTTTGAAAATTAAATATGGTTGTTTCAATTTTATTACTTTTCAAAAAAAACCTATTTTATAAATAATAATAATAATCTCTAATTTTTACTATCCATCTACTTATTTAAATTAATGGTCTTTAATTCATCAGATTGAAATTTTATTAAAAAAGAAAAAATTTTATTTTCAAAATAATTATATCTATCAATAATTATAATTTTAATAATCACAAATTGCTATTTAATAGTGTCCTGGTCTAAAAAGAAGATTTATCTAATTTAAATTCCCTTATTGATTATATATCTAAATATCAACGCTATTATGATTAAAAAAATATAAATTCACCTAACTACATTTAATGAAAACTTTACAGATTTAATTCTTGACAAAGAATCTATATTATTGCTTAATTTGTATTACATTCTTGTTACCATGTTATGATTTCATTATAAAGGTCTTCAAGAAGGAAATTAGATAACATCACTTAATTTTATTAATAAATCTCATGGACATAATTACGAAATATTATTATAGCACAAGTATAAAAAACTTTATTACTTTTAGAAAAATAGAAAATTATTTTGCTAGGGTTTTATAATAGCTCATTTATTATTTTTAAAAAATACTACTTTATTTACAGTTCTAAGAAATGTTTTATTAAAGATTGTTCATTAAAAAATAAGATTAAGCTTAATTCATTAGTCTTTTTAATAAAATCATCTAACAAACTTTTGTTTTTACTTTAAATCAAAATTTTTAAGTATTAATAGAAAAATGAAGTGTAAAAACAATTTCCATCTCCTCTTACTCTTTAATATCCTTGAATCAATGCGCATTTATTTTGATTATCTAGTTTTTATACATTATACTCTTTTTAAAAAGCTTCTTAACTTTCAGGATAATTTACATAGTCTAAATCAATTTACATAGTCGCAGATAGAAAATCTAAATTTTCAATAAATTAATCAAGCAATTTCGGCGCATCTGATTGTAATAACCTTTAATTAGAACTCTATGATAAATTAATAGATTATTCAATTAAATTTTACTACTAAATTTTCGGTAAATTTATTGAATCTAATTTCAAGATAAATTCTTTGCCTTCTTAAATCCATTTATTCAATTCTTTTATCAAATCCCAAAATTAAATTTTCCATGCCTTTTCTCCTAATTCTTAATTGAATTCTTAAATTAATATTGTCGCTTAAGCATGTTAGTAAACTATCCCTTTAAAGTGATTATCAATTTATTCGATAATTTAATCCAAATTCTTTATTAGCTTGTTAAGCATATTTTGAGGGTTATTCATTTTAATAATTAATATAATATTTTTTTTTAATTCAAAATTTAAATATTTTATACATTGCTTATAACTTTTGGGTTATCCTAAAGTATTTTTTAAAAGTTTAAATAATTTAAACTATAATTAATTATTCAAAAATTTGTTCGTCGCTTAAAATAGATTAATCTAGATAAAATATTTATTTTGTTTAAAGTTTCAAAATATATGAAACTCATGATTTTGATCTCTTAATAAATTTTGTTTTTTTATTTCAATCAATCCTTTTTTAATTAAAATGAAATTTTTTAATGATTTTTAGTTAAAGTTTTAAGAAAAAGAATTGGAAGAGAAATACTAAATAGAGAAAGCAAATGAAATAAAAAAACCTGTATTTTAATTTATACTATTTCTTTCCTTTTGTTCTAATATTATAGTATTAGCACTTCATTTTTTCGATAAGCCTTCAGAAACCTGGTATATAAATTTGATATTGACTATTTTGGCAGTAATTTAAATTATATTTATTCTGATACTCAAACAACTTTAATATATTTAAATTGCTTTAACATTTAGCAGTATTGCAATAGGAATTTTATAACTTAATGTCGATCCATTAAATACTACTTAAACTGAATTTTATACTTATGGATGTTTATTTATGTAATTTTAAGCAGTCCTATTCATGATTTCTAGTTTTAATCATGCATTTATTTAATTAATCTGTAGTCTTGCAATAAGAACATCAATTACTACTGTCTATTCAAATAGGCCAGATTATTTATCTATATTTGTAGGACTATTTGGTTGTATTTTAATACTTATTACAATATATGTAAGAGACAAAAATGAAAGAAGATATTTCATACAAAATTTAAAGGAAAATAATCTAAAAAAATTAGGAAAATTTTTGATAAATAAACCATATCTTAAAATATAATTTTTTGAAGATGAATAAATTTTTAAATTACTAAGTTAAAGCCAAATTAACAATTTTCCTGGTTATAATTAATAGATATGCAATGGATGTAATGCAAGAAATATGTTAAGAAATTATTTATTAGAAAATGGAATGTTAGAGTAAATATTATTAAATCAGCCTGATTTTATAAAGTTTGGTTGTACTTTAATGGTTAAATGTGAAAAAATAAAATTTCTAATTAAGTTGTGTCTTATAGATCCTCAACATCGTTAATACTTAATTATTTTTTAAGAATATCATTAAAAAATTGTAAAGGTTCTATAATAAGAAAAGGAATAAAATAAATTAAAAGACTTTTTAAAATAAAATCAAGTTTATTATCATTAAAAAGTATTTAATTTAGGGGCTTTTAGCGTTTTGCTTTTAAATAATTAAGTTATAAAGAGATTCGAGTTCAAATAACTTTTATTCAAAATAGTCAGGATTTATTAATCAAGATTTTTTCCAAATATCGAAATAGAAATCTAAGCAAAAGATACTTAAATTTATATTTGTTAATATTTACATTAATTAAGAATCTTTTTCATTTAGGTATTTGAAATAATTTCCGAAATCACTTTATAGGATAAGGAGAAAGTGTAGGTAATTATTAATTAGAGTCTGAATAATATTGAATTTAATATAGAGGGTTTGAATCAAAAACTCTTTGAATAAAAATTTTGTGAAAATTATTTTGTTAATCGAATTAAAAGTTTATTATTAGATGATTGCCAATTTTCTGAAACAAAAACTACATTCGTCTTTATAAATTACCCTTTGGGAACATATTATTATAAGAATTAATGATAACAAAGATGTAAAAACTGAAAAGTAAAATTACATATAATTTATTATTGTTTGTATTATGAATAAAAAGAAAAATATTAGATTTTATAATATATATATATAAATTAAGATTGTTTACTTAAATTTCCAAATCAAAGAGTAAAAAAAGTAAGTAAATATTTGATTATATTGATGTTTATGATATTGTATATATATAGTTTATGCTGAGAATAAGATAGAATATAATAAATGTAAAAGTATTTATTTGATATTATTAAAATTTATTTAAAGAAAATTAAATTGTATAGAAATACTCTTAAAATAAATTAATTCTCAAATATTAGATGGGAGGAACAATTCCTAGAGAAAGATGGGGGAAATCAATGATGGAATGTAATATGGATAGTGAAAATTCAGAAAGTGAAATTATTGAGTAGCCTAGTATAATATAAACATAACCAAGTGATCAATAATCATTTGTATATCAGAAATTCAATATTGATTAAAATTTTCCGAATTGGCTTAAAGAAATGTATATAAAGCATGGAGCTTATTAATCTAATGAAAAATTATAATTAGAGGAATAATGTTATTTTAATTAATAGGAATCTGATGGTTATATTTTTTTTTAAGGGTTTATGTAAGCTGAACAAAAGCATGGATATGGGATAATGCTAAAAGATGAGTAATTTTATGAAGGAAGTTTTTAATATGATATAAAGTGTGGATGGGGTAGATAAATGGAACAAAATTTATTGATGGTATAAAATAATTATAATAATAAAAGTAAGGATATTGGTAAAACAATTAGATAGTTAGAGATTTAGAAATAAAAAAAGTTAATGAAAAATATTTTGGTTAATGTTTAAATGGTAAACCTCATGGAAAGGGTAAATTGAAATTTGAAGAGGAAGATGAGATATATGAAGGTGATTTTGTAAATGGAATAAGAGAAGGGAAAGGAATTTTAATAAATTTAATATATAATTGTTAATATGATGGAGATTTCAAGAATGATAAATTAGAAGGTAAAGGAATATTTATATTTGATAATGGATAAGAATATGAAGGTGAATTTTAAAATAATTAAATGAATGGTAAAGGATATATGAAATACTTAGATGGGAGATTTTATAAAGGTCTATTTAATATATTAATATAAAGGTGATTTTTTAGAAAATAAATAACATGGTAAAGGAATAATGAAAGATAAAGATGGTATTTATGAAGGGGAATTTGAAAATGGTTAGAAGCATGGATTTGGTAGAATGAAATTGAATAATAAGAATGAATTATTTGGTAAATGGGAAAATGGTGTTTTAAAAGAAAAAGGTGAATGAATATAGATTCTAGTTAATATAATATATATAATGAAATAATAATAACAACTTAAAGGAATACCAAATATCAGATCTCAATATTATGTTGCAGCTTAAGCTTTAAATTCTTAATTATCATCTAAGATAAGCAAGACTAAATCAAGTTATATAGATGATTCTAATAAAAGTATATATGTAGATAAAAATAATTTAGTAAAAGATTACTCATATTTTTAATTATCAACGTAGAAAACATAACCAAAAAGTACAGCTAAAAGAGTAAATGTAAGTTTAGATCAACCAAAACCAGATGATTCAACAATATTACCTCCATTAAGAAAAGAAATATTAAGATCAAGATAATCATAACCTACAGTCACAAAAAGTAAGTAATAATAAAGAAATAATTCACCACTTCTTCCATTAGAGAGTATCCCTGTAATAGAACCATCAAAGATTTCTTAAAAAAATATCGGAATAGTATCATCATATGCAGCAAACACTCATTAAGGTCTAGTTAGATAATATAACGAAGATAGAGTTTCTATAATTTTAAATTTAATGAGACCTAATTCTAATACAAATTCAGGATATTGGCCATAGAGTTCATTTTTTGCAGTTTATGATGGTCATGGTGGACCGTAATGTGCAGATTTTATGAGAGACAATTTACATTAATATGTATTAAAATAATATGATATTGAATAGATTATTAAAGAAGATTGTTTTCCAAATAATCCTAAATTAGCAATTGAAAGAGGAGTATAAAAAGCAGAAAAAACTTATTTAGAAATGGCTGATTAAAAAGTATTAGATAAATCTGGATGTTGTGCAGTATTTGCTTTATTTGTTGATAATAATTGTTATGTTGCTAACATAGGTGATTCTAGAGCAATTATTTCACAAGGTGGAAAAGGTAAATCAATAACAATTGATCATAAACCTTCAACATAAGAAGAATAATAAAGAATTAATAAATTTGGAGGATAAATTTATTAAACATAAATATAATAATTAAATGGTGAAATTTAATTAGGACCTCATAGAGTTTTACCTGGTAGATTAGCTGTTTCAAGAACATTTGGAGATGCTGAAGCTAAATTAACTAAATATGGAGGAATTCCTAATGTTATATCATCAGAACCTGATATTTTTTAGTTATAAATTACTGATTAAGATTTTCTTATTTTAGCATGTAATTTTTTCATTTGATTAAGGTGATGGTATATATGATAAAATGAGTACCGAAGAAGTTATATAATGCGCTTGGAATGTTTAAACATCTAATATTCATATTTTTGGAGGAAAAGCCGTAGAAGCCATTATGAGAATGTCATTATAAAGAAAAACTTTTGACAATATAACAGCTGTCTTTATTGGATTTCCTTAACTAGAAAAAAAGTTAAAAAATAAAACATAAATTTAACAATGATACTGTATTTCAATCCATTATCTTTTGTTATAAATTTTAATCTTTATATATTTCAATATACTTTGGTTTGAGATTAGTCATCAAACGAAATCTTTTATCTTTGTTTAGTTTTTATTTATTTTATCGAATTAGTTATCCAATGTTCTTTTTAATTATCATTAAACAATATCGATAGATAGTTTTTAAACGATATACTTTTATAACTTCACTAATATTCCAGTTTGGTTCAAAATAAATGTATTCTTAAATTTAATCTATATCTAAATGATAATGGATTTATTAATTAATATCTTCTTTCTTAATATATTTTTAGGATATAATTTTTCTTGCTTATATGATTTAATAATATTCAATTAAAAATTATGTAAACATAGTTCTTTATTTCTTAGTTCTAATTCTTACAAACTTTTTCTTTTTATTTTTTAATCTTGATGAAATATAATGAAATTATTAACAGTATTTAATAACATGTCCTAAACGATGGCAACCATAACATTTAATATCTAAGTCTAAATAATCATTGTTTTCTAATTTTGATTTAATCATATGAAATTTCTAGAATTATTCATAATTTAATTATTATAAGAATTATTATCTAGAAAGCTTGATTAAATGAGTAGTTTCAGTTGTAATAATTTCTGCAGTTCTAGGAATATTAGAGAAGAAATTAATAGATCCAAAACATTAATCTGCAAATCCGAGATGAGTATTATTGGCTATTACAGATACTTTTCCTTAAACGATATAATATATATGATGTTCATCATGAATTTAAGTCTCAGGAGGGAGTACTCAAAATTATTGAATAAAAAATACTATATTCATTAAGTTTAATGGCTTTAGACATAGTTACAGGAAGTGTTTTAAAGAATCTTAAATTCATCTAAGTAATAACTTGGTTTCTTAATTCTTCAGAGAGATCACAAATAATTAATGAAGATCTTACTTCATAATCATTTTCTACAACCCATTCTAAATAATTTTAAATTTTATTTCTTAATTAATTTGAACAACCATGTATTTTAGTATATTTATTGATTATTTATTATTTCATGATTAATTCTGTTAATTATGGATCTTCATATTAAAATATAGAAATCATGCTATTTGCTGTGTATCCAAAAACACCAGAAGCCAAAATCATAGCAAATACAGCATAAATTTATTCTTCAGCTGTCTCTGGATGTACATCTCCATATCCAACAGTAATCATAGTAGTAATTCTCAAATATTGATTTCTATATTTACGTAAAATAAAATGATGTTAAGTAATCATAATTATCTTCATTAATAAAATTGAAAATGCAAGCACTCCAATGAGCCAAAACTATGATTATGAATGTCAATTTAACAAACTCAATGAAAGATTAAAAATCATTTCCAAGAAAAGTTTCAAATCTTCTAATAAGGAGCTTCAATTTAACAGCTTTTATCATTTTTATTACTTTTAGAAATTTAAAGAATCTTAACATTCTAATTACTTATACATTACCTCCCTATCTAAATAATTATAAATTACTTCAACGAAATAATCATATGGTAATGAACTAACAAAATCTAGCCAAAACCAGAATTTTATATAATTACAAAATATAATTGATCTTTTTAAAATTAGTTTTCCATCGATATAAATAGCACAATTAAATTGAACAAGAATATCAATTAAAAAGAAATCATCCATAATTTGCATAAATAATGATGTGTTTTGATCTACATTTTCAAAAGATAATATAAGTGGTATCAACATCATTTGAATTACAATAAACAACATTGAAATAATATCCCAACTAAGTCTGAAAGGATGGTTTGGTTACCATGGTTACAGAAACATAGTTGTTTTAACGTTTTGTTAAGTTTCTCTTTCATTTTTTCTAAGAAAAGTATGAAAATCATGAATGTAATCTTCTCTTAATTATTTTTCAATATTCATAATATAAATAATAGTTTCACAACATAAATCACATAAAAATTAGCATCACAAATAAGAATGTTATCAAGTTTAAGATTAAACCTTCACAAACTGTACTATCTAAATCACAATCGACTTAAGCTAATTAATATTAAACAGCAGCCATAGCCCAAGTTGGTGTTTATGAATTAATTACTAAAGGAGCATTCACATCCCTATAATAAATGAATATAGTAACATAGTATCTGGTATATTGTATCCAATAGATAACAATTAATGAACATAGAGTGATAAAAAGAAATTAGTAGCAACATAGGGATTTGAAGAATAAGTAGAATTAGCCTATACTTATGACCAACTCAATTTACAGAATTCTTAAGCTTAACTTAAAAATTAAGGTAACTATTAAAATACATATCAAGAATACCTTAAATTTCTCAAGCTAAAGAAAATTGGCAATTGTAGCAACTCCACTAACTGCATAAATTTAGTATGAAGATGGTATTTATGGTTAATCAATAGCATTAATACCACATAACTCATCACTTGCTATTCTGCATTAACTATTTAAGTATTATTTGATTAAAGCTTAGCATTATTCTACATTTCCACTTCCTGATAAAGAGTATTAAATTTTTTAATAAGTCCAACTTCCAGTATAACCTTAATGATAACATGGACTAATCACTTAGGTTCCACTAAGACTTTTTACAAGGACTGCATCTCTGGCTTAATCATTACCAAAACCAAGATAGGAAATTGCATATAAATATATTTCTTCTTCATTCATTGTTAATTTTACAATATCTGATTCATATTAAGTGTAATCCATTTTAAATGCAATCTAAGTTGAGGCACCTCCTAAATCTATTGAAATTAAGTTTCCATCAGTATTCCCTAAAAGATACTTAATTCCTAACCAAAGATATGTGGCCTATACGTTATATTAAAATATTGAATTACTTCATCTTGACCTGATATTACTCGAGCCCAATTTTCATCTCCAAACAAATAACCACTCTTACCTAGTTACTTCCTGATCTCGTCTACGAGTGCATTTTATTTATTAATATCCAATAATCTCATTCCAGCAGTTGCTCCCATGAATATTGGAGTAAATTATTTTTGAGCAGCTGGTACTTTAGAATTTATGAATTCAAATATCGGAGCAAAATAGGTAGCAATTTCATCTGGATAGTTTGTAGATATACCAGGACTTGTCTTTAGTTATTATGACTAAATTATATTTCCATATTAATTACTTCTTGAGTGATGTCAGTTAGAGGGTAAATTTTACTTGTTCTGCATGGCCACGAATATATTGTTGTTTTCGTACTTGAAGATCCGCAATCCATTATTACACCATAACAAGTCTCATCAGCTTAAAGAAATCTTTATCCTAAACAAAGTGAAGGTATTAGTATATATAAAAACATCTTTCTCTAATTTTAATTAAAATAATAACATTTTCAATATCAAAACTTAGCTTATCACACCCTTTAAATCACATAAATTTTATGAAATGATATGACATTCTATATATTTATTTTTTATAATTTTACTTTATATTATTTAAGACATAATCCAACGAATTAACATACCTTTTAACTCTCTTAACTGTCCTATTTTTTAGAAGAAAAAATCAATATAATATTCAACAAAATAAAACATCTATCTTTATCCTTATTTTGTAAAAATAATTTTCAATAAAGTTTCATTAAAATATATAGCTATAGTTTATGTTAGTTTTCTCAAATATTGATTTTTTAAATCAAGAAAAAATTATATAAAAGGCAAAAGATTTGCGTTTTAATTTTACAAATTTAATAATATAACAATATAACTGAAAAGCTTCAACGGGATTTCTTATAAAGTTTAATCATTTTTCAACTTCTTTTAATGATATATACAAGACTTAATGAAATTATTAATATTTTAGTTTAATTAATTTATTTATACTTATTTGTCAACGAAATGTACTAATTTAGATCTTCCATATATTATGAACCTAGTGATAGCGGTAGTGTTAAGTCTGTTTAAGTTGGAAATGCAAAATAAGATTAAGTCAGATATCTTACAGATTAATTATAAGCAGTGATTATGTTTAACGAAAAGTTAGAAAAAGAAATTAGCTCTTTAAAACAATAAACTCAACAATTAAAATAAACAGTTGTTGATAAAGATAAATAAATTCAAGAAACTCAAGAATCATAATAAAAAACAATTAGTAAATTGCAGTAATTTAATTATATAGCTTTTTAGTGTTCTATTATCAGAAAACAAAAAATTACAAGAAATTGTAATTTCTACCAATAAAAACTTAAAAAATTCTAATGTCAAAGCTTAATAAATTTAATAAGAAAATAATGTTCTAAAATAAACAATGCAATAGTAGGAGGAATATCATGTAGAAGAAATGAAAAAAAGAGCAAACGAACTTGAAGAACACTATTAATTGATGCAAAATATTGTTTCTGATCTAACATAATAAGTTTCACAATTATGTGAAGAAAAATAAAGATTATAAAATGAATTAGACGAAAAAAATAAAATATAGCAAAAATGAAATGTTTATTATTTTTGATAAAATTGATTAAAATGTAATTAAATAAAATGTTGTAATTTTAGAACAAAAACTCCACTAAATAATTACTTCATATTAATTCTTATTTTTTACTACATATCTATTTAATAAAAAAAATTATTGAGAAGAAAATGAGTTTTACTAAAATTATTAAATTTGGTATAAAATAAGAATTTAAGCAAACTGCTTCAAAATTAACTCAAGTCTTATTCATTATAAATAGTAATCTAATTTTCTATCAAGTTCTCTAATATTACTTAAATTAGTTAAATTTAAAATTCTTTTAATTTTATCAACTATTCTTTAATAAACCTCTTAATCAACAATAAGACAGGCTCCTTTATGATTCAATTCCCCTTTATTACATCTAAAATATTTACATAATGTAAAGACTATATCCTTAATAATTAGTTGAAAATTACTTCATTTAATTATGCTTATCTTTTGTGCTCTAAATAAGATTATAAAATCTATTTAATAAATTTCCAAACTTCCTTTAAACTTGGATCTGATTAGCAGAAATAATCTTGAGGAGCACATTAAATAACTAAGTCTTTTAAACATCTTATAAATTTTTCATTTTCTTTAAACTATTATTTTAGTGTTTTCACTCCTTCAATAACTTCTTAGTTTAATAAACTAAAGCTTGAATTGATATTTTTGCTTTCAATAGTTAAATTAAGTTCTTCTGCTAATTATTTAAAAGTTTTTTCAAATTATGTTAAATCAGACTTCTCAATTACAGAAATTTGATTATTGATTGATAGATTATTAAACTCAAGATTTTATTTGAGATCATGAAGTTATTGTCTAAATTAATCAACTTTAGCCAACAAAGCTTTATTTTCTCTATCTAATTGTTAGCACATACAATCTTTTTTAGATAAAAAATTCTAACTAGTTTCTAAGAAAAAATAAGATTAAAACTTTACAATTTATTTAATATTTTTCTTATCGAAGATCAACAACTTTTTTGATGTCTTTTTAATTTTTTTTTAATAACAATAATTCCTTATTCTTTAATTGAATTTCCTATCTGCATTCTTGTAATTATTATTCATATATTTCAATTTATCGAATTTATTATTAAATAACTTTATTTTTTTCATTTCTTAATATATCTATCTATTAAGTCATATTTTTTAATGTGCTAGTTAATTATTTTTGTAATTCATCTATTAAACTATCTCTATATTCAATTTTTTATTTCAATTCTGTATAATTTTTGGATGGTGAAAATTAAGATTACATAGATAATTCAGTAACTTTTGAAAGATCAACACATTCTTACAATTCATTGATAAAACTACTAAAATAAAAGTAAAATTAGAAATTACTTTTATGATTTTCTAGTAACAACAGTATCACAGCTTTCAAATCTGAATTTTGGAGATATGAATCCTGGATCATTTTCTTTCTAAGAAATACTATGTTATCGTTTAGTTTTTAAAGGTTATAGTTATGATTAATCAGTATTGATTCCAAAAGTATTTATTGCTTTAGTAAAATAATCATGTTCATATGATTTAGATCTAATATGACAAGGAATGGATTCGATTTTATTACTCGAAGATTCATAGTTCTAAAGAACATTTATTTCTGGTTATTTGGTGTTATATTAGAACTCTTTCTTTTTCTAAGGAACATTATTTGCTCTTGTGTCATAACCAGTTTAGTATTAGACTTTCATATTTTGTTATTATTTCAAATTTATTTTACAAATAATTGATCAACTGATATTATATAATTTTTATTTTGATACTCATTAATTTGCTAAGCCTCCAACAAAGCAAGCAGCTGTAATTCTAGCTTATGTGTTTATATTCAATTTAATGTCACTAAGATCTTTATCAATATTTTCCACATAATCTATAATAAAATTAATAATTCCTTAAACACTGTATTTTTCTAAATGAGAATCCAATATTAAGAAGCTAATGTCATATCCCTAAATGATAAACATATAAATATACTGGAATTGGTTTTCTTCTTAATATTTCAAAATAATCAGCTCTTACAGCCATATATTTGGCAAACTTTTCACCAATTAGTTTATCAACTTCATCTAAAGCTTTAATTGAAAAGCTAATCTATACATTCTATAATATAGAAATACTCTTGTTGAATTAATTGAAGGTTCAATAATACATTTTTCTTTTTCACTTCTACACAAATATATAGGTGATAAAACTATTGGTCTTGTTCTGGATGAATAACTAAAAAACTAATAAGATCAATATTATAACCCATTCAATTCGATTTCTGGTTTACTTTATTTTTCTATAATTTCTGATGGATGTGATCTCAAACACAATGTAGCCTCTAAAGTTTTTCTGATAGCATCTGAATAGACTTGAACAGCTGCTGCCATTATTTTTATTTTTATTAAATTTATAAATATTCACTATAAAATATATAAATGATATTTTAGAGATAAGAAATAAATTTGATAGTTTAAATCTTTATAGAAGATCTCTAGTTTCATTTATATTCCAATATATTTTTGGATATTGAACAAATTTTTATATAAAATAATATTATCATTATATATTAGATAATTGGGCTAATCAAAAATAGTCACATCAAGTTCAGACAAATCTTTTTCATTAAATAAATTCTACTTTGGTAGATCCATCAATTCTATTGTTATGAAGCAAATAATTCTGATTAAATAAGGCTTTAAACTTAGTCAGATTTAAATCTAATATTATTACACAAAACATTTAAATCCTTTATTGAATTATATTGATAATCTTATTATTTGCAAAATAAAAATTTATCAATCATGGATAGTTTTGTAACTAACAATTCTATAATCGAATTTAAATTAGAGGAAGATACTTAAATCCAAAGTTATAAATTTGATGATGATAAGATAAATAGAATTTAGAGTTTTAAGTTAATTCAGATTCTAATTAGAATCGTACAGTAAATTTGACCGTCATATATAAATACTTAAAGTCACAAATTTCAAATTTAATTATCAAAAACTTCTAAAAAAACAATCCAATAATTTATATAGTTTTACTATTTTATTAGTATATTAGTCCCTAAATAATAATAATAATAAAACTTTCTTCATCGAATCAAGAGATTAAAAACTTTAAAATAAATTTTCTTTGAGATGATAGATAGCATACATAAAATACTTTATCAATTTCTGAAAAAAAAAAAATATGTATAAATGATCAATTAAAACAAGATTATATAAAAATAAATTAAAAAAATATCTAATCTCCAAAAACAAAATTTAGTTTACTAGCATTTATTACAAAATGAATTTTAAATTCAAATGGATACTTCAAGTGTTTATAAACCATCTTGAGATGTCAATTTAATTAAAAAATAGTTTCCAAATGAAAACAATCCCTTTTTCTGCTTTGATAATATATATTGATAAAAAAAATTATTATAACAACACCAATCTTCTCCTAATACCATTAAGATAGCTGCATAATAGTAGAAATAAAAAATAAAATGATTTTTATTGTTTTTAATTTACCTCACTTAAATTTCTCAGTATTATTTTTCAGTTTTATAAAATGATTAAAAAATATTTATTAATTGTTTTATTTAAATTTTACAAATTTTCTTATTTGATAAAGAATAAAGAATTCTTTAACAAAAATCAACAATAGTTTATTCTTTTATCTTAACTAATTCTAATTTAGATTATTTTAATTAATTTATATTCAAAAGTTATAGTTCCAATTAAATTTAACCTATACATCAATTTTTTATAATTATTTATATGAAATTAGCTATTCATATAACCTTAATCTAATATATAATTTCACATTAAATCAAACTATTCAATTGACTTTTAATCACTTTATTTCTTTAGAGCTTTATCATTAAAATCATATCGGGAAGAAATTAATGGGATAAAATGATAAATAAAATTTTCAATAAACCTTATATGAGATTAAAATATCTAACAAAAATTTTAATTTTAGAAACACTCTCTATGAAAATATGGAATTTATATTTCACTAAATAATTTAGATAAAATGATAAAAAATTAAATTTAAAAGATTGAAATATTTCTCGAACAACAAATTAGGATAACCAATTTTAATAAATACTTATGTTATAACTTCAGAATAATTGAAAATACTAATCTTATTGAAAATAGATTTCATATAGTAAAACTTACAGTAATAATCCTCTTTTATATGATTTAAAAACCAAATTTTTTGAGCAAATTTTTAAATTATTAACTATAATGGGTATTTGTCATTCAAGAAAAAACTTTTAAAATCCTATGAATACAAATCCTACTTCATATTATTCCTCAAACCCTTCCATTTTATAAAAGATAACCAATACAAAAGAAAGTATATAAAAACCTAATTTAAACTTCATTATTCCTTGTTAGCCCACAAATTACGATCCTTCAAGTAATTAATTTTCTTATTCAAGATCCTCATAGATAATTTAATGTTCTAATAAATGGTGTTCGATTTGAAATTATTAACTCAATTGAAAACTGTATTTTTTCGATTGAAAATCTAGAGGAATGACCTAAATCTATGCTATTAATTATATGTTGATATTTTATAAAACGAAAATGTATTATTTTCAATTTTCTATAAGAACATATTAAGATAATATTTTTAATTTCATGAAATAAATTTTATTCATTATGTCTCTTTTCGGTAAAATATAATGAAAATAGAGGAACTTAAGCCCTAATGTACTCTTTTTCATGAAAACTTAAGAATATAATATTTCCAGAATTGCAAGTTTAATATGATTTTAATTATTATTCTTTTATATTAATTTAATTGACTAGTATTAATATTTCAGAGATCAGATATGCTTCTTCTAATAAAACTTTATTTTCCATTTAAATTTCCATCATCAGCTTGTTATTATTATTATAAAATAATCTAAATATTTTAATTATTATTTACCTATGTTTAAAATGATTTCTTAAGACTCTCTAATTAATATGAATATGCCTAGTCTAATCTTCTCTTCTAGTTCTCCATCATTTGACTGAATTACATATTATTAGTTTAAGAGTGTATTTCTAATTTTTCTAGTAATGCTTCTTATTCTATTATTGTATCATTTTAAGTTTTAATTATTAAGCTTTACTTGTAGGTTTCTTCGTTTAATTCATTACACTTCAAAGTAAGCTAATATTATAAATCATAAGAATACCTATTCATAAGAATTATGAATTTGTTAAATTTAGTTTTTTTAATTCTCTAATTCCAACTCATATTGCTACACTACTACTTCATAATCTTTTTTAAGTGATTATTCTTTTAATTAATTTTCATTAATATTTTAATATTATTAGTTTTATTATTTCAATAATTCTAACTTTAATTTTTTTATGTCCTTCTCATTTTATTCAATTATTGATGTTTTCTCTAATAATACTAATTTTTAAAATTAAATTTATGAAACTTAATTATTTATTTATTCTTTAAGATTTTTCTCTTTTTATATTAATTCATCAAATTTTCCCAACACTTCTTGCTTCTCTTTATCATGTTATTTTAATAATTTTGTGTAATAATTCTAAATTTCTTCTATACGCAATTTTTGTAATTCATTTAGTAAATCTTCTTTTTAAGGCTGTTCTTATTTTAATTTATGAATTTCTTCTTAATATTTTGAGATTAATGTGATAATATCTGATGATTCCTTTTTTAAATTTTATATCTTTAAGTTACTAATTTATTCTTATTAATTTAACTGAGCTCTATATTTTTAGTTAGTATGAATTAAAGTTTCTATTTCAATGTTCTTAATTCCTATAATTTCTTTTAATTTGTTTATTTCCTATTCATTAATTTTTTACACCCCTAACAAACCTTATTTTTATGTCTCCAAAAGACTTTCATATTATTATTTTGTTTTTGTTCTTATTAATTCTAGTTATATTTAATGGTCTTTCAGTAATATTGATTATTTATTTCTAATTTGCTCTAATTCAGATCTTAAATGGACACAATCGCAACTCATCTATTTATTATAATATTAGACTATAAAATTAAATAACTATTTGTTATTATAAATAAATTAAAAGTTTATTTATTTTAAACGAACTTTATTTATGCTGTTCTTAATAATTTCATCAGATAAATAAACACATAAATTGAATGATCCATATATATTTAATTTTATGAGATTAATAACAAAGTTGAAAAATCCTGAAATATGACTAAATTTTATTTGATTTTTAAGAACCAAAAGAGGATGGAATTCCACTTTTAAATTCATTAATTTATATTAAGAATAATATCTATCTATTATAACCTACAACAACATTAAATTATATTATAAACCAGAACTATATTATCAAAAAATAATTAAATATAGGGTTTTACATATTCCTTTGATTTTTAAAATTTATTTTTATATTTCAAGTTTTTTTAATTTTTGTTCGATAATGCAAATTCTATTGGTCTATTCTTTTAATATAAAGAAATGTCCATGATAATTTGAAATATTCTAAAATATATTGATTATCCATAACCCATTAAACTTAAAATATAAGGTTTTGTATTTCATTAAAAAATAAACTCTTAAAAAGAAAGCTCATAATAAAAAAATTTATTTGATCATTCTCTGAAATTTATATATTTTTTAAATTAACTTTAAATATAGGTATTTTATTTTGCAAATTTATTTAAATTAATGCAAATTTAAAATTAACGAATTCTTAAATCGATAAACAAGTTATTTATTTTTGCAATATAAAATGAGGTTTTTTTTAAACTTTGTCAATAGGTTTATAAATCCAATAAAATCAATATGGTCTTAAAATATTTCCATTTTATCTATTAAACAGATTTCAAATGAATAGTTTAATAGATTATGTATTTTGCAAAAGTAGCTGGCATAATCTGAAAATTTGTCTTAAAACAATAAAAATTATCAATATTTGTATCTCTTTATATTAGTACATATTAATTATTATTTTAATTTAAAAGGATGGGAGTTTGTGTTTCAAAGGAAAAGAAAAATAAGAGGTTTAAATATGCTACAAAGTCTTAATTGAGTCTTTAAAATTTTACGATGACTTAAGATAAACAAACTATTAATTTGTATCACTAAACTAAAATTCATACAGGAGCCTAACCAAAAGAATATGATTATACAAGTATCAATATATATTTATATAGATCCACATAGATAATACAATGTTGTACTGAATGGAGTGATTTTTGCAGTTGTCAATTCAGTAGAGAAATCTTTAAATGAAGAGCAAATAGATAATGAAATATGATTCATATATTTTTAAATATAAAGAATATTCTATCGTTATAGATTACCCTTTCAAATTAATACAATTAGAATTCACATTTTTGAAATGTTTCTACCAAATATATCTTATTAATAACCATATAATAATTAATAATATAATTACGAAATATCAATATTAACGATTGAAAAACAATTGAAGAAAAGCTATTATAAGTTGGAAAATTGTCAGATTATCCTTATTTGAAATATACAGAATATTATTGTTCAAATTTATTTCACTAAAACATTTGTAATATCCCAAAAATACCAATAAAATATCTTGTATTTTTAGTAGAAAAAAGGTTTTCATTTGGTTACTCTTCAAGAAGCCTTAATTTATCTTCTAAATAATCAAGATTCTATAATTCTGAAATATTTTCCTTCTTTCTTTTCAATTATATAGACTCTCTTAGAATATCAATATTTGTTTTATTAAAAAAGGAACAAATTTCTCTTACTATTAGAATTAAAGATATTTCTTGAATCTTTATAAATGAAAAGAATTCGAAATAAGTAAAATCAAATAATGGAAGTCTAATCATAATAAATTCATTTACTTAATAATTTCTGTAGTTAATAATAATGATGCTTCTAAGGAGAAAATAACTAATATAACATAGAGTACAGAATTAACAATCTTTTCATACTTCTCTTAATAAAATAAAGGGAAAAAAATTAAGAAAACTCCTAATTAGAAATTAAATGCATTAATGATAAAAGTCTATTAAAAATGCTCTGATCTCAAAAGATTTAAATCATCATCCTAAATGTTATACTTTTCATAGTATAATATTCTTTCATTATTTTTTTCAATCTTTGGACATTCTATTTGATGACAATTTTAAGGTTTAAGTGTTAAGAAGGTTAATATTTAGATTCCAATTATAAGCGTAAATATTAAAATTCTTATTTGCTTGGAAAGTCCTCCAATAAAAATATTTATTCCAAAAGGAAGAAGTGTTAAAAAATTTTCTAAATTCTTATCCATTAAATATAATTGATTATTTATTTATCTTTTTATTTTTAAGAATCCTACACTAATTGTTTTCAATTTTATAAGTTTAAAAAAAGAAGAATCATTAAGAGTATGCTAATTTCTAGCAAAATTTAAATATATTTTGAATATATTAAATTTTGCTAGAAAAATAAATATGCTGGATGATATTTCTAGTTCAAAGAGTTGTTTAGAACTAGATCTTGGGCCTGAGAACTAAGCTCATTTTTTAGAAAAGTATTTTTATGATTTGATCACTGATAATTGTGAGCAATTATTAACAAATACTTTATATAGAACCTTAATTGAACAAATTTAAGATAAGAAAACTTTAGAAACAATCTTAAGTAGATATATTTAAGAACAAATTGATTTGTAATAACGTTAAAAGATTCATTCTAAATATTTTTTTGCCAAATAATCTGTTTCTCTAAAGAAATTAATCTAAAAATTCAGACAATTATTAGTTCCAGAAGAAAATATTAATAATACTAGTAGTACATTAAGTTAATCATTTGAAAAAAAAAATAAAAGTGGATTTTTCCAAAATTCAGATTTTTTAGAACTCTATCAAAACGAAATTTTTAGGGATTTTGGAGAATTGAACAAAGGAGAGTTAATTTATATAGATGTTAAATTTCGTATTACAAATTCATAATTAAAGGAAGAACTTTACAAAATAAGATCTCATATATTAAAATAGTTGCTTTATTAAACAAACACTGATGAAAAGTAAAAATTTATATTGATATAGTTTCTTTTAAACATTTAATGATTATTATCAAATGAAAACAATTACAGTTCTTTTGTTTGTTAATGGAGATATTAATTTTGATTATGAAAAATATTTTGATTTAAAGGAATTATATGTAGGATAAAAAAAATTCTAGATTAAATTGAAAGTAAATTATTTACATATTTTTTAAGGTATGTTATGTTTCAGCTAACAGATTGTAGTCAAATTTTTGTCTTTAAAACAACATTATGAATCATTCAATTACTTAATAAAATATGGCATTTTATGAATTGAAAAGATATGGATAATGCAAAATAATTATCAATAAAACAATTGGGGAATTAAGAAAGATGAAATAAAAAGCAAATTATAGGATTTTTAAAGATTATAAATTTTATATTTTGATAGGAGGAATAGCAGCTGTTGGATTATTGTGGAATGCCTTTTCTAAATAGGAGAATAATGCTAGAAAAATATTTAGATAATAATGAGTTATACTGTTATTAATTAATAAAATTTATTTATTTAACTGCTAATAGAATGAACTAACCAAATCATGTTATTTCAGAGAATCTCGTGATTTCATAACCACTATATGATAATGATTAAGCAGCACAATCCATTTATGATAAATATTTGAAAGAGTGTTCATTGATTCCAATTAGATTAATTGAAGAATCAAAGGAAACATAAGAAAGACCTTTTGCAGGAACAAGATAAAGTAGTCAATAACAATCGAATTAGAGAAATGAACATAATATTTAAGAATTTAGTTCTTTAGAAAGAGAATAAAGAAACAGAAACTAATAACAAATGTAGTAGGTAAATTATTAATAGGATCATCAACATTAATATTATCAAAATAATTTAATGAGATATCCTTATTAAGATGTCTATTATCATTAGAGATAATATAATTAATTATAAAATTATTATTAAGATTAATATTAGTATCATTAACATAGAAGGAATTAATAACAATATAGAATGGAATAAGAATATTATGGTCATCATATGAGGAGATAAGAATAAGGAAGAAGAAGAATGCATCATCCTTAACCAAAATATGGATTAGATTAAAATGAAATAGCAGCATTAAGTGAAATAGTTTATAGATAGAGTAGAGCTTAATGTTGGGAGGATGAAAACAAGAAATGTAGTATTTGTATTTCTCATTTTGAAGAAAATGAAAAAATTCGATTTTTGCCATGCTTACATAGGTATATATTGTTTATTTATTTTTGATTTCATTCAGGATGTATTGATTCTTGGTTATCCACTAAGGGATCATGTCCATTATGTAAAAAATATGTCAGATCCTTAGTTTAATAATTTTCATGAGATACAAATTATATATATATATTATAACTTCAACATAATTAATAATTATTAATAAGGAAAATACAAAATGGAAAATCATTTATTAGAATTATCAGGAAAAAATTTCGTTTTTTAAGAAACAAATTTTCTTTTTACTTTTATAGGTGGTTATATTTCATCCTCTTCTTTTATAACTTCTGTTGCTATTCTTCCATTTTGAAGATTAATTACCTTAACCCGATTTTAAAATTCAACTTTTCTTTATGCATTTTAGTCATCTAATTATGAATTTTCTGAATCCTATTATATCAAAGTTTCTAAATTGGTTTAACTTTAGGTTTAATTCTTTCCTTTTCTATTGAATCTATTTTAAATTGTTCTTTATGATTCTTAATTTGGAAAACTCAATTATTCCTCTATCATTTTAATAAACATATGTGATTCTTTTCTTTATTTATGAAGTCCAGGTAAAATAATATGAGAATCACTAAGAGAATTTTACTGAGAGAAAATATTGTTTAATTATGTTTTGAGTTAATAGTGTTTAGATTCTGGCATTAGGTTTAATGGTTTATTTATTAGTTAGGAAGAGTTTTATTAAATTTTAGGAAATCGAATATTGATTTCTTAAACTCTATCTGTCTAAGCACCTTATTAATAGATGGCTTCTGTTTTTAAAGGTACAAAAAGTTCACTTTCTTTAAGTTAATCTAGATTATTAAGAAATTAAGCAGGTTTTAAAGACCTTGTAATTTAAGGATTAGATTAATGTGAATTATCAACTTTTAAATCAGGTTGGGAAGCTATTTTATGATGAAGAGCTAACATTAATAATAATTTATGTCAGAAAAAACTTGAAATTTATAATCTTATCATATTATAGATGTTAATATTGAATGATAAAATTAATTATAATTTGTAATACTTAAGTTGTATTTGCTGATCTTGATTTAAATATTCATATCTAGTCAAAAAATATCTTTAAAGAATAATAGAGAGAGTAGAAAGATTTAACTTATTAGTAAGTATTTATTCTTTTATTTAATTTTATTGGATAATAATATTAAAATTAATTTATTGATGAGAATTATTAATAAAAATTACAATAAATTTTCAGGAATTTTATTCAATAATTTCATTATTCACAGATTATTTATTTAATCTTCTGGTTTTTTTATTTTTTATTTTATGTCTTCTTTTATTTATAGTTTTATTTAATTTTTGAATTTTTTTTTTAATTGATAAAGGATTAGGACCTTTAGCTGGTTTTTTAATTTTAATAGCTAATTCTTTAGCTAATTTTCTTTCTTTTTCCATTCTTTTTTCTGCTTGTAATTTTTTGATTTCTTTTTGAATAGGTAAAATAATTAATTTTTCTTTTTCATTAGGTAAATATTTTATTTCTTTGAGACTTTTAATATTCATTTTACAAGTTTTTGATGGTTCTGCCATTTCAAATAGATTATTTTAAAATAGATAACAAACAGGCACATGATCAATTTATAATAAATTGGATCTTAATTCATCATCTTAAGTACAAATCCAAAAGAAATTGTTAATTCCACCAAATTCAGGTTTTGGTTAGACAATATCAATTAGACATTCCGCTGGACTGACACCATCAATATGTTTACAATTGATTTTAGATAATCCTTAAGCATATTTAAAAACTCTAGGAAATAAGTGTTATAAACTTGTTAATTCTCTTAAGACACAAAGTGTAGTATGTTTCCATATTTTAGCTTTTGTATATTTGAAAAGTTGCTTTAGATAATTATATACTTTTACTTTATCAAGATCTACATTATGATCAAGCATTTATTTAATAAAATTTCCATCAAAGACTAATTGATAAGGTGGTTGAAATGAAAAATTGATTCGATAAAAGGAAAGATTCTTTTTGAATCCTTTAGTCTTTTTAGCTTTCATTAAAAATTAAAAATAAATTATAATAAAAGATGGATTAAAAACCAGAGAGAATATTTGAAATTAAAAAATGGAATGCAGTTGCATTATGGAGTTGGGATATAAAAGTTGATAATTGTGCAATATGTAAAAATCATATAATGGAAAAATGTATTGAATGTGATGCATAAGAAGGATAAGGAGAATGTATTGTCGCATGGGGTACATGTAATCATGTATAAATAATAAATAACTATTATAAATAGGCATATCATTTTCATTGCATAGAGAGATGGTTAAAGAATAGACAGACATGTCCATTAGATAATCGTAATTGGGAATATTAAAAATATGGTTGAATATTTTAATTTTATATAATTAATAAAAAATGGATAATTGTTATTAGTAGATAGAGATATTTATATCTGGAAGATAATTAAAAGACTTGGATTATTTCAGCAAATCAGATCCATTTGTAATAGTGTATATGAAAATAAATAATTAATGGACAAAGATAGGGAGAACAGAAACAATAGAAAATAATTTAAATCCTAATTTTAAGAAAACTTTTTAACTTGATTATGTGTTTGAGATAGTATAACCAATAAGATTTGAAATAAGAGATGATGATGGTAGTAATTCAGAACTGATTGGTTAAATAGAAACAACAGTTGGTGCATTATTTGGAGCAAAAAATTAGACATCAATTTTAGAGCTTGGATAGAAAAGAGGAAAACTTATTGTAAGATGTGATAAGATATAAGAAGGTAATGAAGTTATGATAATGAAATGGACTGGAGTAAAACTTATGAATACAGATGGTTGGTTTGATAAATCAGATCCATTTCTAAGATTTTATAGATAAAGAGATGATTCAACTTACATTTAAACACATGAAACTGAAGTTATTTAAGATAATCTAAATCCTTTATGGAAAACCTTCGAAATATAGACTGTTAAGTTAGCACATTCAAATGATAAGAAGATTAAGATCGAATGTTGGGATTGGGAGAAAAGTGGAAAACATTAATTTATAGGAGAATTAATAACTACAATATAAGAATTATAATAAAATAGAGAATATTAATTGACTAATCCTAAACATAAAAATCCAGGAAGATTAAGATTGGATTAATATAATACATATGTCAAACCAAATTTTTAAGATTATGTATAATAATATATATAATAATTAATTAGATTAGAGGAGGATTATAACTTAATTTAATGGCTGCAATAGATTTTACTGGTTCTAATGGAGCACCTCATTAACCAGGAAGTTTACATTTTCGATCACCCAATTAACTTAATTAATATTAAATAGCAATTAATGCAGTTGGAGAAATCTTACTTGCCTATGATTATGATAAAATGATTCCATGTTATGGTTTCGGTGCTAATTTGAATTATCCAACTATGAGATCACATTAAGTTTCACATTGTTTCCCATTATCCGGAGACCCTAATTAAATCAATGCTTACGAATTATAAGGAATTGCTAATCTTTATAATTATGCTCTTGCTAATGTTACATTCTCTGGTCCCACATATTTTGGACCTATCATTTAAGAAGCACTTAGACAAATTTATTAATAATAATAAACTGAACAAAATGTATACATTTAAATTAATCTTATAGGTTTATACTATATTATTAATTTTAACTGATGGAATCATACATGATATGGAATAAACTAAATAATTAATTGTTAATAGTTCTAGACTACCTTTATCAATCATTATTATTGGTGTTGGTAATGAAAACTTTTAAATGATGGAAGAACTTGATGGAGATTCAGGTAATCATATATTCTAATTATTGTAGGTCTTTATGCTGGAAATAGAAGAGCAGAAAGAGATTTAGTTTAATTTGTTCCATTCCGTAATTTTGGTGGAAATCATATTAATTTAGCTAGACATGTTTTAGCTGAAATCCCAGAACAAATTGTTAAATATCATTAACTTATAGGTAAAAAACCTAATCCACCTTAATTTGTTGATATTAATTAATTAGGCATGACTCAACCTAATTTAAATAATCCACAACTTGAATCATAACCACCATTAATACCTCCTAATGTTTATCCTTAAATTTAATAACCTAATATATAGCCTCCAATTTAATAACCTATGCAATCATAACTTCCATATTAATAATAAGTTCCACCATATGTTTCATAATAATCATCTACATAATAATATCCTCCTCAATAACAATCAGGATATCCTTATCAATAAAATAATAATTATTAATAAACAATTCATCAATCCTAATAATAAGGTCGAACATCTGAATAAATTAATCCATCCAATTTTATGTATTAATAATATGGGCAATTACCTTAAAATAATAGATAGAGTTGCAATCTATAACAAGTTCCATATTAATAAGTACCACCAAATTAATTAAATAATTCCTTTATACCAAACCATTAATATCCTCCTATGAGTCAATCTCAACAAGGATTTGGCTAAATCAAAAATCCTATGGAATGAATTCATTATTCATTATAATCATCATATAATAAATATATATCTTTCCTAAATATATTAATTTTATCAAACTTAATTATCGTTCAACCTTAAATTCAAAGTATTTATTAAATTTTATTATCAAAATAATATCTTATAATTTTATCATCTACCCAACTAATTTTTTTGAAATTATTATGATAATGAATCTCATTTCTCTTGATTCAGAGGCTTTCAATTATTAATATCATTATTAAATTACTATTGTTTGAATTTTTTTGCTTGATTTAGTAGTCAATTACAATTTTAAACGAATTATAAGTTCATTACCTTTAATTATTTTTTTGTTTTTCAATTGATTTTTTCTAAATCTATATACTATTTCTCATCAATTCCTATTTTCTATATTATTCTTAAGTCTTTCTTCCTTATTATTTTTAGGAGATGATTATTACTTTTTTAAATCAAATTTTCTTAAAGACTTAGTAATAAACATTAAATTTTATTTATTTAATTATTATGATTAATGGCATCTCTTATTCTTGTTGTTTATAGACACATATAAATAATGATATATGTAACAAACAATGTCATTATAAATATTATTTTAAAATTGAAAGAACTACTTTCAATATCCTTCTAAAATCCATTAATTTAAATAGCATTTCTGAAAATTTAAATTACAATTGAATTTTATATGAGTTATAATATCTACATTGCTTATTTTATTACTCATTTCTAAATAATTTATCGATTTCTGTATATACAAGTTTTTGTTAATTTGAATGGAAAAATGTCTCAAAAAAAATATCATAATATAAATATTTAACAAAAGTAAAATAAAATAAATATGTTTGATTTATAGATGCAATTAAAGAATTGGCTTGAATTTTATATTAAATTTGATAAAATTTTCAAATGCAATTTTTCATGACAATAACTTATTAATTAATAAACTTTTTTTAGTTGGATCTTGATTTAGGATTATTCTTTTTCTTTGCAAATAATAAAAAGCTTAGCCCCAAATGATTTTATAACATTCATAAAATTATTGCATCTATTCTTCAAAATCTTAATATTCTTTATCATTAATATATTATCATACATTTCTAAATATCTGCTTCTTACAATTTACTGTTCAATTTTTAATTCATTTTTTCCTCATATTCTTTCATTTTATAATTAAAATTTTCAATAATAGGCTTTAGCTAACTTTCTAAAAATTTTTAATTTTATTGAATTAACTCAGATTCAGACTGTCTCTCAATGCCCGGAGCTTAGATTAATTTGCTTAATTAACTCAAAGATTTCTGCAAGATTTACAATTATTTAATGACTTCGTTAGTGTCTATTTTAAGCTATTGTTCTAACTCAGAGTCTTATAGAATTTCTTATTTCATAAAATAATTTTTATATTATTTCTTTAAATATGAATTTAAATACTATGATTTAACTTAAATAATAAATTTTGGGAAATTTTATTTAAAGAAAATCTAAAACTCATTTTTATTAAATCAACACAGTCTGACATTGTAAATAAATATAATTTGAAGGATTAAATCAACATAAAAATTAGAAGATTGTTTAAATTTTGAATTTTTCTTCTAAAATTGGGCTTTACTATTTTTGATATTATTTATAAATAAAGCTGGCTTAATATATAAATGACAGGTAAGAAAAATTGATAATAGAATTATTTTGATTTTAAAAAATGAATTTTTCTAGAAAGCTGACCTAAAGATTTTTCTAAAGCGTATTTTTCATTTGATTTTATTGTAATAATTGGTAACATTTAAACTAAATTGAAGATTAAATTGAGATTGAGAGTTAATAATCTTATCTGATTAATTTACCTACTCTTCTCTTTTTTGAGGTATTTGTTTTATTGATATAATTATTTTACTTTTATTATGATACTTAAATTACGATATTTATTTTTGATAATTGATTTTCTTTTTTTCCTTTATTTAAAAAAAAGAATTTGAGCAAATTAAATAATTTTATGAGTATTTTAGTTATTTATTAGAATGGTAATTGAGCTATCGTGATTGGACTAATTTCTTAAATTAATTTAAAGCCTAATCAAAAAACTAAAAAAAATAATTATATGCTTCGAATGATTAAGTATTAGTTAAGTATAAAATTTACACTCTTACTTATTATTTCTTTTTTATCTTTGTTTTAAACCACAGTTTATAATTCTCAACTTTAACTTCATCTTTAATTAATATAATATTTTCTTCAAATTAATCAGAGTTTCAGATTATTTAAAAAATTGAATTTAACTGTCTTGCTTTCCTTGTTTATGTAAATTCGAATGAACTACTTTATAAATAAAGTAAATTATTTATAATTATTAACTCACAATAATTTATCCCAATGTCTTATATTAAATTTCAATAATTTAAATAAATGGAATAGTAACCTGCAGCAACTTAAGAGAAATCTCAAAATTAGGCACCTGCTCCCTCTTCTTAATAAGCTTAAGTTTAAGCATAAAAACCTAAAACAATCCTATCTGAGATCAAACTTTAAATTTTATTATTAGAAAAGGCTGTCAGTTCAAAAGATATAAAAGCAATATAAAAAGTATCTATTTTTGTTAAAAAGTTCAGAAATGTAATATTTATCAATTAATTTTAGACTGTAAAGTCTCATCATTTATGTAAACTCTATAATACATTTTTCCCAAATGTAGCAATTTAATAAGGAAATGATTATGATGCTAATTTCAATGAAGATTTAGGATTAAGTACTTAAATAGTTTAAAAATTAACAAAATTAATTGAAGTTAATGTATTTATACAATGTCTATATGTAATTTGGCTATTTCAATAAAAATAATAAGAAGCATATGAATAAGTGAATATCATTGGCAAATAATTATTATAATAAGTTTAATAAAATAACAAAAGATATTTAGATACATTATTAGGAGTTATTTATGAATATTTATCGAAATCACATGAAAAATTAGGGAAACTTGATTAAATAAGAGAGTATTAGTATATAAATATAAAAGTGTCTTATTTGAAGGTTATAGAAATGCTTGTTAAAATAGAGATGAAAATGGATAAGCTATTTTAATAAACTTGATATTGAGAAACTTTATTCATTATAATTAATATGAATAAAGTTATAATTTTTTGAAAAAGACGGAATTTCCTGAACATGCTTTTGGGAATTAATAAGCAAGATTTTTATATTATACAGGACTTATTCATGCTATTAGAGGTGAATATTAAGAGGCTTATAAAAATCTTACTTAAGCAAGTCATAAAGCTCCAGATAATACAGCTTTTGGATTTAAAGTTTAAGCTATTAAAGTTATTGCTTTGGTTGAATTATTGTTGGGTAATGTACCAAATAGAGATACATTCACTTCTCCAGAATATTAAAAAGCACTATATCCATATTATAGAATAGTTTCAACTGTTATCAAAGGTAATTTAGGAGAATTCCAATAAGAAGTAGAGAGATCAGAAAATATATTAAGAAGAGATAAATTATTTAATTTAATTTAAAGGTATTAAAGATGTATTACATAAATTAGATTACCACAAATAGTTATCAAAGCTGGACTTAGAAGAATTAATCTCTCTTATTCTAGAATTTCTTTAAACGATATTCATCAAAAATTGAATCTTCCAAATTAATGCAATGCTGAATAAGTTGTTGCTAAAGCTATTAGAGATGGTACTTTAGCTGCTGTTATTGATCATGAGAATTAAATAGTTATAACTAAAGAAACTAATGATCTTTATGGAACCAAAGCCCCTTAAGAAGCTTATGGAGAAAGAGTTAATATATGTTTAGGACTATATAATTAGGCTGTTAAAGTAATTATTTACTAATATAATTAGGCATTATAATATTAAAATCCAGAATATGATTATGGAGAAAAGTAAGCTGATGATGAATTAACAACTGATGAATTATTAAGTTTAGCTGAACTTGATTATTGAGTAATATAAAAATGTATAATCACCTAATATAATTATATTTCATTTAGAAATATGTTAATCTGTAAAATTAACTTAAGGTTCTTTATATAATTAAATTATCCATCTATTGTTTTGCTTCTCAACATTTTCTACTAAAGTGTTAAAAATTAATTTTATTAGTGAATCCTTTTTCTAATTTATTTCCTTACCCTCATATGAAACTATTGCTCTATCCAATATTACAACTTCAATTGAACTTTTTTGATAAGCTGATTCAAATATTTCAAAAAACAGTCTTCTTAATTATTTTACAATAGTTATTATTTTCACATCTTTTTGATTTAATATTATCAGTCTGTTAAATTTATATCCAAAAAAATCATTTAAAAATAATAAATTTTTTATATCAAACTATTAAACTTTACATTTTTATTAAAGTATCTTAAAATTCAATATTTACTTGAAACAACTATTTCTTATTTAACATAAATTATCTAAATTTTTAGAATTTAATGATTTTTATATATTTTTATAAATACTTTTAATTAATTGCATTCTCAATTATTATTAATTTTATATTTACTTTCTCATAATAATCTTACAATCATCAACTTTTATTACAGAATCATCAAACTTTATTATAAAAGTAGATGATAAAGATTTCATCATAGAATAATGAATAAATTACTTATTTTTATTATCTTTTGTTATTTCTATTCTTTTTGAGTGGAATTCATTAATATTTTAATTAATGTATAACTTATAAAAAGTATTTTCTAATGACTCTAAATTATAATTCCATTCTCTTAAAAATTTCTTTAAGTGTTTTGAATTATTGCACTCAAATGGCATCTTGCTTGAAGATTTAAACAAGAATTCTAACTTATCTTCACTGAATGAAAATATTATGTAAGGATTATCGACAATTTTAGGAAAAACACTTTCTAAAAAATATTTTAAATAATACCCCATAAATAATCATACTAACTTAAAAGGAAACTTGTTCTATTTAATGCATTTAATTTATAAGAAAAAAAACACATAAAAAGCATCAAAAAAATTGTTGAACTATATATAAGATAAGATTTTTATGTTTCCATTAACACAGTATAGATGATCTTAAATAAAAATGTAGATATTATAATAACTAAAGATTCTTTAAATTCTGAAATTAGTATAATAATAACACCACACATTGTAAAATTACTTTAATATAAGGATAAAGCTTGAGGAGAAGTGTCAGTTTTTATAATTAGTTCATAAGCTACTAAAATGTATGCCAACAATATTAGCTATATATTTATTTTGTGTATTTTGAAATGTAAAAAAACAATAGACAATAAAGAATAAACTTAGCAAGCAATTAAAATTGGCACCAGTTCTAATTCATTCTCTAGAACCAATGTTATAAGTTTGAGTGTGGCTACTACTAAAATGCAAGCAGATCCAAATTTAAATACTGGTATACTGATTGTATGTATTCTCTATTATTAGTATTCCTCTTCAAAGGATTTGTACTTAAACTCTAAAGTGTATTTGTTCATTGTTTCTTTTGTTACTTAATTTTATTATATATTTTATTTTAATCCTCTTATGATAAAAATTAACTAATGATTAACTTAAATGAAAAAATATTTAAAAGAAAGAAATTAACAAATATAATTAAATATTAATCAAATCAAATAGTATGTAAGGGAAATAATATATGATATCATTTTATTTAAGGAAAGAGATTCCTAAAATAAAAAATATTAAAGCAATTTACTGAACTGCTACTATTATTCCCCTTTTTGAAAAAATAATTCTGAAAAATACTTATATAAGTTTTCCAAATAAATTTTATACAACTTATTTTTAGATTTTACTAATGAGAATAAAAAATTGTTTAAAATAAATTTTTTAGAAATTCCTATTAAATTTTTATTTATCAATGCTTATTTTAGGTATAATAAATAAACCATTAAAAAAATTGAATGATATCATAAAGGTGAATATCTAGATAGATTATAAATACAATGATGAAGTCTTTCTTATATGAAATGAAAACAACATTACATGCCAAAAAGAAAAGTTTGATCAATTAAGTTTTATATAAGAATAATTTATACAAAAAATTAAAGGATTAATTAAAATATAACCAAAGTGAAAAATAACAATTAGATATTATCATATTGGTTTCCGACAGACAGGACATTCTTTACTTTTTAGTTTCCAAACATCTATACAAGATTTATGAAATTAATGAGAGCATTTTAAAGTCTATTAATCTTTAACAAGATTTTCCATACAAATACTACATTCCTCGATCTTTTCTAAGTTTTAAAATTGATTTTCAATGTATTGAATACAATCTTCTAAATGATCTTTCAGAAAATTTCTAACTATGTGATCACTGCAATATGGACAAGAGATGATCCCATATTCATCATTACATTAATGATCTATTTCTTTTGGCTATAAACATACACTGCATATTTCCATTGTATGACTCTTTTTTTATTAAAAATTTTCTTAGATTTCAAATATTTTAATTTAAGGGTTTCTTGATTAAAAAGTGTTTTAAGTATTAGATTACTTTTGAGTAGCAGGAGGTTGCTAAATTTATATTTGCTTTTATAAATTATTGAAATTAAATTAGGGAATTTCAAGAATTTTCTTTTTACTTTTTGTTTATGCATTTTGCTTCTCTTGAAGTTATCCATTATTAGAACCTTTGTGTTTATCCATCTTTCTTTAAAACATTTATTAACATTATTTCATTTTTTATGCAAATAGCAGTTGCTCTTGAGGATATTTGCTTTTAAAATTCTGATCAAAATATTACAAAACATCAGTATTTCTATTACTATTATTATGTATTGTATGACTTCTTTATGTTTTTCTTCTGCTTTCTTGAGGATCATGTACTTATATAAATGTTGTTAATTTACATAGAATCCCAGCAAAGTCATCATCATCATCAATGTAGTCAATTGGGTTCATGATAATTTATAATTAAAATGATTTTAATCAATAATATTAATGATATTTTAGATTGCTAAAATATTTTTTAGATTGAAAAAATACAAACTCTATTTCAAAAATCCATAAATTTTAAATATTCATTATAGAATGATCTTATGTAATGCTAATTCAATAATATTTAATCAAAAGAGAGCTAACTTATTTGCTTTTTGTAAAGAAATGTATTGCATATCATCTATATAAAAAATTGAAGAGACTCTAATAAAATGATATTAATGAATATAGATTTTATAGTTGGTTCCTCATATAATTATCTTTTTTGAGCAAATAGTATTTTTAATTCGAATAGAATATCCATTTAGTATTGTTATTTTCTTATATACTGTTGTAGAACAAAAGGGAAGCATATGTATTGTCTAATTCTCAAGATAACATTTTGATTTGAATTATAATTTTGATGTCCTAATTCTTTTCTTGAAAAATAAAAAATATTTAGCCCTTTATAATTATTAGGTGTTTGTAAAAAGGAGAACTATTTAAACAATAGATATTATATATTTAAATTTAAATTAGATGAATATAGAAAATGAATCTATTTTATATTAAGTTAATTTTATGAAACAATAAAATTATCTGTAATTTGGGAGAAGAAATTCTCTTTCAAGAAATATACAATCAAATGAATATTAACTTAAATGTAGTTGAGATTATCTAACATTCTTCAATCAGAGAAATTAACAAAGGCTATAAATATTATCATTTACGTTTCAGTTACTACAAGACTAAATTAAGTCTCTTTAATTTCTAAAAATATTGGATAATAATTGAATATATTAATAATTCTGGAGTATTTACAATTTAAATTGGTGTTAAGATTTATCTGAATAAATGATTTTAGATGCAAAAGCATTGCCAAATTTAAGATTTTATATGTAAATAATATAAAATGCTAATCCTTAATTAATCTAAGGATACAAAAAAGGCAATTAACAGTGAAATAGAATTAATTTAAAAGAATTCAAATTTTTAAGAAGGCTTTCTAGTTCTCCTGTTAAAATTATCACAAAATAGACAAAATGAATAATAATATAAAGAAAATTAAATATAAATACATATATTGTTTATTTATATATTAATAATAGCTAATTATGAAATTCTAAAAATTAGAATTTATTCTAAAAAACTATTATAACTTTATAACAATGATATTTTACGAAATAAAAAATAAAGTTTTTATTTTAAAGAAGATATATTGAAATTAAATTTAGAGAATTTATTCTAATGTTTTTAATTTGATCAAAGAAATCTTGCAAGCAGAATAAAAGAAATTAAATTCAAGTTGCATTTTTGTATATCCATCAGAATGTAAGATTGCAATCATAAAATTGAATGAAATAATAAATAAACCAATTTTTCATTTAAAATAAATTAGGTATTAAATCAAAAATTTTGATTAATGAAGAATTTTATTTTTATTTAATGAATTTTTTAAAGATTTCTAAAAAGTTAAAAATAATCTAAAAAATATTAGAGTAAAAACTGTTAAAGAATAATATTTAATCAATCACAATTATAATGAGCCAATAAATAGACAAGACATTTAAAAAATTCAGGAATGGTATTTTAATAGATTTCTAAAAAAGTTGTTTCAGTGATAACATTGTTATCATAATTGGATTTATTAGTATGGAACTCAGATAACCTTCTAGCTTTTTCTTTCACCATTGTAATAACAATCTATTTTTAAGGTTTTTGTCTAGCTTTTTTTTAAATTGAAATTCGAGAATTTAATTCAAATGGATTTCTAATAGCCTATTATCTAAGATATTTAAAGATAATATTTGCATCTTTTTATGCTGCACCTCCAGATTTAAATAGTTCAAATAGATCTCTAGTATTTAAATAAGTTTTAGATATTGTATCATAACAACTAAAAACTAGTTAAATAATTTCTACAAAATAGAATATTTATTACATAGTTATGTCATTTCTCTGATTTAAAATAAAAAAGATCGAAAGACTGCTTAAGTAATTGAATAAGGTAATTACATTAAATTAACCAATCTTTAAACACTAGTCTAACAACCTAATTACTTGGTTAAATAATTTACTAACTAAATCTTAATGAATAAGTTTACTTATGGTTTAGTAATTTCTTAATAGACACTTGAGTTTGAAAGCAATTTAAAAATTTCTTAAGTGTAAGTACTATCAGGATCTAAAGATAAATAACCAACTTTCATCGCTTTCAAACGATTAGAAAATGTTCTATATTTGTTATATGTATTTCTTCTTGTTGTCAGTCCAGATGAATCATGTTAACTATTACTCATAGAATGTTTTTTAATTGGCTGTTGATCTAGTAGTGATATTTTTGGTAGTTCATAACATTCAGAGCAATCAGATAGAATTTCTTTTTTTTCTTTATTTTTAATAAGAAATTTAGGGTTGTATTCTAATTCTGTTTAGTAAGATAATTCTAAATCATATTTGTTGAGTGAATTAGATTCATTAAATTAGAAGCTATAATCTTTAGTCTTTACTCTAGACATAATCATGCTTGAATTGAGTTAGGATCTATCTGCTCTACTTGATCTCCCTGTAAGAATTGTTATTTTTTCTTCTATACATCTCTTAAATATATTTGATATATCGTACATTCTTTAATAATAAATATTTTCTCATTCTATGGATAGAAAATTTAGAAAAAGAGCTTCTAGTGTTAACTCTACTAATCCTACTATGAAATTACTTGAAAAAAGAAGGCTCATGTTTGAAGTTCATGAAGCCTATGAAAATTAACTCTTTTTATTTAAATAATAAGGTAATATATTTTTTAAGTTATTTTTTTAGAGGGTGAATTCACAGCAAAGGAAAATGAAATCAGGTTAAAAGATACAGAAATTTAAACTGAATTACTTAAATTTTGTAAGGAATTACAAATTAATGAAACTAAAAAGAAAAAAGCAATTAGTTTATACCAAAGTGAAAGAACTGAAAAAGATAAAAAAATTAAAGAAATTGCAAAATTATAACATGATTTAAGTCTAGATTAATAGATTTTTGAAAATGTTGAAAGAAAGGGTACAATAATTCAAATTTATAAGAATAGCTGAAAGACTTAAAAAATATGTAGAATATTTAAATAGTATTATTAAAGCCTATCCTGATAAATATTCTGATCTTGATTCAATAACAGATATATATAAAAGGCTTATAATATCACATTAAATTTTAAAATAAGAACATGAAAAAATGGAAATCGATTGTGAAAAAATGAAATTTACTATAACTTAATATGAGAAAGAAAAAAATCATGATGTCTTATAATTAAATAATGATATTAAAGAATATCAAAAATTAATAGAAGAAAAAATAATAGAAAGAAATTAATTATTATCTGAGAAAGAAGAAGAAGAAAATAGAATTACAGAAGAGAATTTAAATCTTGGTAGAATATTTATGGCTATTGATAATATAAATTAAAGATGTTTAGATGGGTATTAAAAAATTAAGTAAGATTATGAAGATTAAAATAAAGAAAAAGATAAAATAATTAAATAAGTGAGAGAGGAAAAGAAACCATTTAAATTATAATAAGATGATGAAAATTTTGATATTAAATGTAAATTAGTATATAAATAAAAATTAGGTTAATAAGCTTCGATAAAATTGAAATAGATTGTTTAAAATTTAAATGATTTTAAAAAGATAATTGAGGGTTGCAGAAATGAAATTAAAAATAAACAAAAGTGATTATTTAAATTTATGTTATGCTTTTCTAGATTATCTTATATTCTTTCTTATTTAAAATATTAAGTAATCATTCTTGTTTTTTATTAAAAATAAATATAAATGCTTAAATTTAGATAATTATATTCATTATCTGTCAGCTCCCAAAAAAAGACTAAAAGATGGTATTTGGAACACATCAATGATTTCTATGTTAAAGAATCTAAAAGAGTATTTGTATCAATTAAGATAGTTATAATTAAGAAGTCGAGCTGCTTTTAAATTAATGTAAATCAATGAGAAATATTAAATCTATAAATAAAACTAATAAATATTAGATTTAGGAGCAGCTCCTGGTAGTTGGTCTTAAGTAGTATCAGAAAAATGTAACGTAGTAGCCATAGATCTATTAGAAGTGTCACCAATTTAAAATGTTAAATTTATTTAGGGTGATATTATGGATAAATAAATAATGAATCAAATAAGATAGTTTAAATTTGATGTTATTCTTTCGGATATGGCTCCAAATGTCTCTGGAGAGCATGAAGCAGATCATTAAGAAATATCTGCATTAAATTAAATAGCATTACTTTGTAAGTGAATATTTTGATTAATGAAAGTGAGTTCTTTTACATTAAAAACTAATGGTAACTTAGTAATGAAAACATTTGTTGGAAGTGAGGAAAAGCTTAATTATGTAAAATTATTATTCAAATATTTAAGGATTATTTTAGATTATTTTTCAAAGAATTTCACAGAGAAAAACCTCTAAGTTCTAAATAAGAATCTAGTGAATTATTTTATGTAGGAAAAGGATTTTCATCAGATTTAATAAGAGATATATTATAAAATACAGAAAAATTATAAATATATCCAATAAAAATTTAAGATAGATTGAAAAATTTAATAATTGATTATAAAATGTTTGAATGAAATAAACAATCATTATTCTAAACTCTTTAGTAATACTTAAATTTTTTCGTTATTCTAAATTTGATTAATAAAATTTTTATCATCATTTGTTAATTAATCCTCAGTTTTTGTCATCAAATCTAGAAATCTTTATCTAATAATTTTCAGTTTGTCTGTTTTAGTTACAGTCTTTTAATGAGATATAATATCATCAACTAAAATTTTTTTTTTCATAGCCCAATCTCTGTCATCTTCAATATAAAGCATTTCTTTCTATAGTTTGAAATGATTTTTAATTTGTTATTTATTGAATTAATTAGATTTTCTCATAGATGCCTCATATAAATAATTGCTTATAGATTAATTGAATGGTGGATCAATAGAATGAGGATCACTGCTTTCCGACCAGATTTAATTTAAATGATTTAAAATTTTTAAAGATTTTGGTAATTAATTTTCAGGCAATGATATAGTGTTAGCAAAAGTAACATATGTTATTTCTATTGTTTTAGACCAAGTCGAAATAATTCTAATAGGAATCATTGAATTTAATGTAAAACTCTATATATTAATAATTGAAATACCAAAGATATGGGTTCAAATTTTTCTAAGTGATTTAGTTTAGAATTAGTACCACACTACATGATTATACGATCGTTAGTAATAATACTAGAACTAGTTCTTCCAGCTGAAACCCATAAAACAGATAGATTTAACGGTTTGGGTAATATCTATATTTGATATTTAAGAAAATTACTTCATTTTTTAATTCTGAATTTCCAAGTTAACCTCTTTCACCCCATCCCCAAGTGTAAATTTTACTTCTAGTTTTTGCAATTACATGCTTAAAACCACAACAAACCTATAAGACTTTTTCAATATTAATGAGACAAGGTTCATGTCTGTATCTTCGATCACCTAATCCTAACTCTCCTTCATAGTTCTCTCCCCATGAATATAATTGTCCACTTTCACATAATGTAACAATAAATTGATTTCCACATGAAATCATTTTGGCTTTCTATTTGATATGGATATGAACATTTAGATTAGATAAAGAAAATACTTTATTTTCACTTACTATATATTTCTTAGATGACACAGTACATTCTTTATTGAGATAATGAGGTTTAAATTTTATTTATTTATATTGATCACCATATTATAATAAAGAACCATCAGCAGTTGTTACTAATATAAAATCATCATTACAACTGATGGATTTTATTCTAATAAATTCTGGGAATATATTCTTTTCAACAGTTTCAAAAGTTTCTTTATTTAAAATCAATTATCCACTCCCAAATTCAAATATAGCAGTTCCACCTAAAGTAACACATAAAGTACTCTCTTCTGTTGCAAAATATGATTATATTGGATGATCTTTTCTAAATTATTAAACTATTATATTAAGTAATGTTCTTGAGTATGAATAATTTGGATTATAACATTAATAGATATCAGAAAGTATGTCAATATCAATAGGTACAGAAAATAATGCAATTTTCGGTAATCTTGGTCTCCATTAAATCAAACAAGTTTCTAATAATGGTTAAATTTCTTCATTTTCAATATTTTCATTTGTTAAAATCCATAAATTTGAAGCATCTTATTTTTATTGTTTAACATTTTTTTCCCAAGGTAATACATAGGATTCATAATTTTTTTTGTATGCCATTTGTTTATTAAGATATAATCTTGCAAATTTTTAAACACATCTTGCTGCTGCTCTCATTCTTTAAAACATTGTTGAAAGTAATTTAGTCCTAAAATAACCTTATATTAAATAAGCAGCATCATGAGCCCTTCTAAATTAACTTCTAGCTATAAATCTTCTAATTGCTGCTTAAACTTTTATTACTGAACTTTCCATTTTTATTTTACGTCCTGCATTCTTTATTTAATGAATTTGCTTCTTATTTTTTTTTCTTACTTAATTTCCTCTAAAATTAGATTATATGATAACAGCCTTCTTAATTAATATCATTTACCAAGCCTCATCAATAATTTTTTAAAATACATTTTTTATTTCCCTTACTTTTCTTTCTTATTTTGATTAAACCACATATCTACCAAATTTCTATATCTTACTAATTGCTAATTTCTTTCTTGCTACATCTCTAAGAACATTATATCTTTCAAAATATATTTTCAAATAGGATGAAGATTTTTCATATTTTTATTTCAATCTTTTTTCATGCAATTTTCTATACCAAGCTTAAATGACGGATGCAGCTTTTATTTTTTTTCTGACTAAAACTTTAAAACGAATTCTTTAAGCTAAAGTACGAAGAGTCAAGGCTATTCTCATCATTTTTTTCAAATGTTAATTCATCTTATAAATTTTATAAGATCTTTACAATTTGGCTGCTCTTTAATGTTTCAGAGTAACAATCTTATTGTAAGAATCTTCTATCATTTACAATCCTGTATTACGAATAAATATTTTAGTTTTTCCAAATAATACTTATTTTGAATCAATATGAGACATATGCTATTTAAACATATCTAAAACCAATTATCTAAAATTGATATCTGGTTTTTTTATTAATTTATTGTATATTTCATTTCTTGTCATATCAGCATATCTTTTATAAAAAAATTAATATGGTCTTCTAATACTGTAAGATTCCTTCCTTACTTTTAAAGAATCTAAAACTCCTAAATATCTAATTTATTTGAGAGTCATTTCAGATTATACTTGATTAGGTACTTTATTTTCATTTGGTTTTATACATCTAATAAAATGAACATCACATTAATGTAATTCTGTCATCAATTCAATCATTTCTTTTTTTATTTTTTATGATATAAATTTTTCTTTCATTCCTTCTAATGCATATAATTATTTTAATAGAACATTCTTAGTTTAACTAATCATAGCAATAGTTTAAGCACTCATTTCATCTTTATTTTTTTCTCGAAATCCTGTTACTGTATAACATACATCCTTAGCTGTATGTACTAATATAAATGCAGGATCACTTGGCATTTTTGGTGTTTTCACTAATTGATTAGATTTATGAGTTGTTCTTATTTTCTATAAAAATCCATCATCAGTTGATTTTACTGAACAAGACTCATCTAAAATACTGAATATTCCTCCTGGTTATTTATCTATTAATTCAATTACATTAGCATTATCTTAAAATTCTAATTATCCTAAATGATCTTTTAAACCTTCTTCAATAAAAATCTTTTCTTCCTCTTTAAAAACGTATTGAATATATAGTTGATGTAATTTTTCATTTGTATAATTAATCATTATCTATTCAAATCCATTTTTATCGAAAACTTCAAATCCATAAATATCAAGTAACCCCACAGATATCTTAGACTCTACTTTAGGTTTTAAAACTTTATTTAATTGAATAACTAACCAATTAAATAATCTATCATAAATGTCTTTCGCTAATGAATCTCGTGTAAATTAACATTCATCTATTGTTAATGGAGACAATATTGTTTATTTGTTGATAACTCTTGATTTAAGAGTTAAAGCCTATGAAAGTTGCTAATTTGACAATTCTAATAAATTTTCAACTAAACTCTCATTAACTGAAGCTGGTTATGTATCTGTTAGAGTACTATTATCAAATTCAAGATTTCCTAAATGTAATACAGCAAGAACTGTTTAGACTATATTCTCAAAATCATTTTGCATTCCTAAGATTTTAAAACTTTCTTAAATTTCTTTAAACATTTCAGCATCATCTACATTTGAGATTGTATATGTTTTAGAGGAATTGAGATAATTAAACTCCTCCATTTTCATTGTTACTCCAAATTTATTTAAAAGTTCTTTTGGTAAACCTTATAAAAAGAAATAAAATATGTGAAAATTTCTTTCATTTTTTCCTTATTGATTTATTCTTGACTTTTCCATTAAATAATTGATTATTTCTGCCCCCTTTATTTGTCTGCTTCTTTCATCTACAATAATTCTAACGTACTTTCCAAACCTTGAAGAATTATTATTCCTAACTGTTTTAGCATTACCAAAAGCTTCTAAAATTGGATTACATCCTAAAATTTAATCTTCAATTTTATCTTTCGATGAACCATCTGAAGCTATTGAAGTTAATAAATTCATTGAAAATTTTGCATTCTCAGTTTTTCCTGCTCCACTTTCTCCTGATATAACAATTGCCTAATTCTTTTCATTCTCAAATAATTATCTATAAGCTTGTGCTGCAATGGCATAAACATGAGGAGGCAAATCTTTTACAAGACGATTCTTTTTAACGATATCATCTATATATTGATTTCTAATATCTGCACCCATCAAACCATGAATCTATTTAAATGGATTAATGACTAACAATGTTGGACCTACATAAGTAAATATTATATCTTTGGCAAATCTAAAGATTAAATTATTTAGTAATTCTGCATCATTAAGTATTTCCATATTTACCATATCATCAAACCCTTTGTTTCCTAATATCGTTGGATCTGCTCTTTCTAACACTTAAGTTGGTTTGCATTATATCTATCCACCAGATTCCAACTTAATAGTGATGATTTTGCCATCTGAACTTACAACGATAGCAGGTAAAAACATAGGGTCTTTATTATCAAGATCTTGCCAACATAATGCATTTTGGACAACCCATGATAAATCTACTTATGGTTATGATTTTTTTGCCATATATTTAATTATATTTATCAAATTGGTTCTTCATCAGAGTCATTGTCATCATCATCTGCATCTGGATCTATAATTTTTGAGTTTTCATTTTTTATTATATGATTTATGATAGAAGAAGAATTTCTCTTTTTTGTTTCATATTCATCTTTAAAGTCTTTAAAGTGATATACCAATATTTCTTCATATATACAATCTATTTTATGGTTTTCCTTTTACCTTTCAATTATTGAAGTGTCATATTATACTCTTCGAATTCGAAATCAATTCTTTGAACTGGAACTGCAATAGGCTAAATAATATATTATCTATTAAAATACTTCATCATCTGGACAATGTAGAGCAGATAAATATGGATGTCTTAGAGCATCTTCTACAGTAATTCTTTTTTTAGCATCAAATGTTAATAAACTTTTCAATAAATCAATAGCAAGATTTGATGCATTAGGAAATAATTTATTAAAATCTTTTCCAGGTCTTTTTGGTAATCCTTTAGCAATAGTTCTATATTTTTCTTTTGGAATCATATTTAATTCTTATTCAGTTGGTGTTCCAATTACTTCAAATGTCAATTCTATTTAATTCTTTGTATCCATTCCTGGTAAAAATGGTTTTCTTCTTAATAATTCTGCAAAAATGCAACCTACTGACCAAACATCAACACTTTAAGTATAATTTCTCCATGATAATAGTAATTCTGGAGCTCTATACCATCTAGTAGCAACATAATCAGTTAAAACACCTGCTTTAGCCTAATAATGATTTATATATTTAATAATAGTTACTTTTAAATCAGGAATCAATGCTCTAGCCAATCCAAAATCACAAATTTTTAGATCACAATTACTATTAACTAATAGATTACGTGGTTTTAAATCTCTATGGACTACATTTGCAGAATGTATATATTTTAGACCTCTTAAGAGTTAATAAAGGAAAAATTAACAATGTTCATCAGCAAGATTTTAGTCTGACTTTATGATTTATGCTAAATCTGTTTCCATTAATTCTTAAACCACATAACTAAATCATTCTAAATTATACATATCTTCAAATTCTTCTCTTGATTTTGGGAGTAAGATTGTATTGATTCCAATTATCTACATATTATTCAAATGTATACATTTTCATGTTATAATAATCTTAGTAGTCTCAACTCTCTTAAAGTTCTCTTTGTAAATATTTTATGTTCGAAAGCTTTTTCAATCTTTTTTATTGCTACCAAATTATCCTCAGAGTCTAATGTATTATCTCTTGCTGCTACAACTATACCATATGCACCTTAGCCAACTAGTATTATAACATCATAAATCAATACTATTGTCTAAGATTTCATATTTATCATCAATCTCAAATCTTGAGCCTAATATTGTGCTCACTTTCAATTTACTCTTTTTATTTCGATAATTTGAATAATGTTAAATTATGTCATCTGGAAGTTAACAAGGTTTCATTCACTTTATAATATTAATTTTTTATTTTTTGATACAAAACTTATTTAAATCATGCATTAATAGAAGATAATTTTACAAAAATTGGCATAAATATAAGTAACCTATATAAATCAATCCTACAGTTCTCTATAATAAACTCATATACATAAATAATACTAAAAAACATTATTTTAAATTATTTGACTATTAAACAATATTCATATAATTTATAAATTTTGTTTACACATTTATTTCATTTAACAAACCTATCTATATTTCCAACTCATTTCAATTATTAATTTTATTGCGTATCATCATTTTCATCTAGAATTTGGTCTAATTATTTAGCATTATCATTATTAAAAATGTGTTTCATAATTGAATAACCTTTTTTAATATTTAATTCATAATCTTTGTAAAATTCAGGATAATGATAAAGTAATATTTCTTCATAAATAAAGCCTTCAATATAAGGAGTAACATTTACCTTTCCATTATTCAATAGTAAGATTATATTCCTCAAATTCAAAATCTAAATACCTAACAGGGATCGCTATTGGCTAATTTTAATAATAAAATACTTCATCTTCAGGAATGTGATATTTAGATAAATAATGATGTCTCAATTCTTAATCTGCAGTAATTCTTTTAGATAGATCAAATTCAAATAGCTATCTTAATAAATCAATAGCTTCATTAGTACCTTTAGGAAATAATTTTAAAAAATGTTTTCCTCTTTACTTTTGCATTTAATTGATACTAATCGATAAGGGAGATTTTGGGGCCATTTATAAAACTCATTTATTTGGAGATCCAAATGCAGTAAAGATTAATTCTAATCAATTTTTGACGAAACTCTTAGTAGCAAGATTTTCTTTCTTAACATCTCAGCAAGATATACAACCCACAGACCACATATCTACGCTTTAATTATATTCTCTACATTATAAAAATAATTTAGGTGCCCTATACCATCTTTTTTATACATAAAGAATATAAAATTTTGATTTTAACTTGAAATTGAATTTTATTTCAATACCTAAATTTATGGATTTAGAGCTCTTGCTAATCCAAAATCACATATCTTTAAATCACAGTTTCGGTTTATCAAAAAAATTTTTTGGTTTTAAATCAAGATGAACCACATAAACTGAATGAATATATTTTAAACCCCTTAATAATTGATATATGAGAAAGCCTATTTATTTCTAATCTAATTATTTCTATTATCGAATGATTGTTGATAAATCTGTTTCCATTAACTCTTATACAATTTATCTAAAATCTGCCTAGTTTTCTATACATATCGTCAAATTCTTTGGAAGCATTATATTCTCAATAGATGTTACCTTTACAGAAATATTAGAATGATTAATACTTATGGCTGAACTACCTTTAAAGTCGTAATTCTCTGAGTGTTCTCTTTGTAAATAATCTTTATTTAAAAGCCTTAACTATGTCTTTTGCAGCAAAAACTACCCCATACGATCCTTATCCAACTTAATTCAATAGTATACCATTACTTACTTATGCTCAAGTATTAATATTATGGGTCTATGACAAATGTATTTTCACCATCTTATATTATTGATTTCTATGCATTTGATTTAAATGGAGAGTAATGTTGAATTATTTAATGTGGAAGTGTATACTATTTCATTTATATTAATATACTCCATAATACAAACTTAATACAATTCACAAACTTTTTTATTCATATAAATTGAATGGATCGTTCTACAACAGAGAATATCTTTTATCCATATTCAGAACCGTTTATTTATTATAGTATTTCAGGGTGTCTCTTTAATATTTCAAGAACTGCTATGATTTATTACTGATCTAACTATAAATATTTTTTAAAGACATAGTTTCCAAAAGGATGAGTAGCGAAAGCTACAAATTAATAACTAAAATTTAAATTAAATTTACTTATTTTCTTAATCTGTAGCCAACATTATGTTTGTTACAAATTTTAGATCTTCTTAATCAATTACTTCAAGGAATACTTCTACAACATTACTTCCGTATTTGTTGTAAGATAAAGTTTAGAAATTACTCTTAATTATTCTTAACAGTTCCATTTTTTATTATTTGAAATTACTCTTCAAAATGAACTAAATTATGTAGTTACCAAATTCGCATAAACAGAGTTATTATGATACATCCATAATTTAATCCAATAAGGTTAAACTATATAATTTTTAAAGCATAAATTAAATGATTCTACATCCATAAGTGTGCTAAGACATAGAATATACTGATTATTCTATATGTTTTTTCATATATTCACATAACTTATAATCAAAATTCTCTAAACAACTTAATAGAACGAAGCAACCATTATTATCCTTTATTAATTGTTTGATTTGTAATTTTATCTCATCCATAAATTCTATTTAAAAATGTTTCTCTTCATCTTTTAAAAATTCTATCATTCTATGTATCACTCTAGAGGCGTATTAATTTTTGGATAATTCAAAAAAATGCCCTTTAAGTTAATAAAATAAACTGAATTTCCACTATCTTTCACCTACAACTATAATTTTATATAAAATACATGACAAAAATATTTTTTAAACCAAATAATTTCCAAATAAATCTTTTGAAGTCTTAATTAAATTTTTTTCAATAGTCTCAAAGATCATATTTCTTTATAAAGGAGTACCATTGTCAAAAATCTTTTGTAGATTTCTTGAAGCATTCTAATTTCCACATATCTATTCCTAAAAAAATAAATAAATGATTTACTAAACAATTTCTAAATTGATAATCATCTTGCCTCAATAACAATTAAACTTAATTATCTTCTTATAGAGAAGGATGACTGTTAAATGTCAAAAATAAAGTTGAAACTTGAGTAATAGGTTGCATAGTTTAATGTTTTTTAGGGGAAAATTATAGTTACTTTAATTCGTGATGAATTTTAATTGAAGGTTTCTTCTCTTTTTATCTTTCGTTAAATCTAATATTTATAATTAGAATATATACATATAAGGTTGTGTGTTTGTAGAATTATAAGTAAGAGTGTCATTCCCATAATATTCCCCATGAATTTCAATTTATTCAATGGAATTAATTAAAGTGGGTTAAAACTCTTTGGCGTTCAGTGATAATTTACTCTTTTTTCTAGTTTATTTCCTTTAATACATTTACACTTCGCTTTCATCTAATACATTATCATTATATTCACATACCACTAAGTATTGAACCAATTAATTGTTTTTCTTCGGGATCCATATTGAGATGTTGTTTTTTAAAAATACAAAATAAGAATATTTTTTCCCTTTTATAATAATTAATTTAATATATATTTAGATATCAAGCACTCTTATTTCTAGAAATCTTGCCTTCAAATCTATTTTATTTTTTAGAATAGCATTATTTCTCACAGGATTCCTCTGTTACTCTGGAAATTTTGCTATTTAATTATTAATCTGATTTAAAACAATTAATCCTTGTTATTCTGAATTGTTTATTTGAATCATATCTTCTTCTATTTATGAAATTTTGAAGATAATTTTAGATGTCATTTCTTAAATTGAGTTCCAAACAAGATCCAATTGATTTCCTTCTTTTTTTTTCTTCTTCTAATATTTTTTTTTTTCTTTCATCTTCTTCAAACAATATATTATTTGATCTTTCCAAGAATTTTAATTCATTTTCTTAAGGTACAAATAGATAAGCATTTTTTAGTAATTGATCAGCAGTGGGTCTATCCTATTATTTTGGAGTCATCATTTAGCAAACTATTTGTATCAAAGAATCGGAATATTGAATTCCTAATTAAATTAATAATTAGTATGTTTACCTACATCTTTAAAATGACGTTTATTGATGCCACTTCTTAATTCTTGATATTGATTATCAGATTTTGGTAATTCCTCTTGAATCATTAATTCAAAGATGGTGCATCCAAAAGCAAAAATATCAACTTTTTATAAATCTATTGGAGTACCAAAATTCATCTAGATAAAGTTTTTAATACATATTCCATGATTTCAGGAGCTGTATATCTTTAATCCCCATCTCGTATATCTTCATTAGCTAATACATATTAGAGTCTTGATAACCCAAAATCAGCAATTTTGTAGCTCATATCTTATTTTTTAAATAATATATTCTCTGGTTTGATATCCATATGTACTAAATTCTTGCTATGCAAAAACCTTAAACCTTCTAAAATATGTTTTAAAATAATTTTGATTTCCCATTCTTAATATTGTTTTTAATACTTAAGATTATAATCACAGTATTCCATAACTAAAAAAAACTAATTTTATTCAATCCAACAATTATAATACTGAACAATATGTTTAGAATCACTTTTACTGAATAAATCTGCCAAAATACAGGCTTCTTATCTAGCATCACTGAATTCTAATTTTTGCTTAGGTTAAGCTTTAGTCTTTTTAATAGCATAGATAGATTGATCGAGAATGTTCCTACATTTAAATACAATAGCAAAATTTCCTTATCCAATTTTGGCTATCTCTTCATACATAGAGTTATATTTAGATGTGATTTCCAATTACATTGCATTATTTTAAACAATATTGGGAGCACTGAAAGGTCTAACAATGGATGATCCTCCATTATTAATACTAAATGCTAATTTCTTAAAATAAATGAATTATAATGTACTTTGAGAATCTATGCACTTTATGGAATATTTGAAATTGAATTGATATTTAAACGTACAGCTTTAGATTTCGGATCTGACATTTAATTGAATTAATTCGAAGAATAATTATATTAACATAATCAAACTAATCTTCTATCATTGAGTAATTTTTTTATGTAATATACTTACCATGCAGTCACTCCACAAATTGCCACAGTTTCAATAAATGTTAAAATCATCAATTATTTATTTATCTTTTATACATCAGCCAAAGCACCCTTGGATTTCAATTCACTCAATTTTGTACTATAAAAAACATCTCTTATTTTTTATAAGACTCCTTGAACTCCATTTTCAATAGGATCTATATCATTCTATTCAATTTCTTCTAAAAAAAACGATATCAATTAGAGATGTACCTTTATCAGATTTAGCTACATCAATAGCAAATTGAACAACTTTAGACTCTTTTGCTCTTTTATTTTAAAATATCAATTAATAATCTCCTTTCTCAGTGGCATTGAAACTGAACACTGCTTCTTTTTTCATCATCTTGGCATAAATCATTGAACCAGAAGGATCAATAACCTTAAAATCAATAGTATCCATAGTATAGATTGGTATAAAGAATGTGCCTCTTATATTTGTAGGAGTTTTCTTGATTGACTCAATAAATATCTCTTCGCCTCCTTTTTCAATTGAGAATGAGATCATATCATCAGGTAGAAAGCCTCTCATATATTTATCCCAATCTTGCATGATTTCTTTGGTTTCTTCCATGCTACACCAAGAGATTGCTAAGAGACTCAATAATATTGGAAACATAAATATATCAATCAATTAAATTAGAATGTACTCTAACCACGTATATGAATTTTTTTTATTTTTTTCTTACTTTCACTTTCATCAATTACTCTATCTTTTTCTTCCACACTTTCTTCACTATTCAATCTTTCTTAATCATTCCTATGTTTTCCAGAAGAAGATCTTAAATGTAATAACTAAAATAAAACTATTTTAACTTGTGGATTTTTTTAAGGAATTCCCATACAAGGATTCTATTTATTAGGAACCTTTAAAGATTTCTTGAATACCATCTAATTTAACACTTTTAATCTAGATATGAAATTAAGGAACTCTTATAATTCAATATTATCTATTTCACATTAAACTGGTGTTTATACTAAAGTTTAAATTTAAAATACGTTTAAGTCTCTTTGCTGAATCTTTAAACTTCAATAATAGATCATAATGTCTTTTTGATTCACTATAAATTTCAAATAGACTAAGAGCGTCTGAATTAGGTAATGTTACATATTTGTCAATTACCTTTTCTATTTCATAACATATGAAACTCTGAAATCTCCACACATCAAAGTAGATATATTTCTGTATTTCAGATATTTGAATTTCAGATTTTAAAAGAATAGTAGCATTATTAACTAGATTTTGCATTTTATAATGCCATAAAAACATCAATTTAGGTTCTATATGATCTTTATCATTTAAATATGGATATGAATTACGACAAGCTGCTCTATAAAGATCGATATTAGCAGCTAGACGTTAAAGATAACTAAAATATGCTTAAGTAAATTATGAAATGTTTAATTCCTCGCTAACGTTCATTTCAGTGTAGAATTAATCGTGCTTCATACGAGTCATCAGATCAGGTTCTGTAACTAGATTGTCTGAGTAATGTTGTTCTATTTTTTTTATTCGACAATCCCTCAGTTTTATTGATACTTCTTAAGATATATCAGCACAATGGAACATCTAATGGATTATTGCAAGTAGTTGAATTAAAGCGGTACTTCCTGTTATTCCCTTGTACTCTGATAGATAATTAAAAAGAATATCAATATTACCTAAGTATATATAATTATAATACTGTCATTTTTGGTCAACTATTGAGCCATTTATTTTGTCATTTATTTTAAATCAAATTGAACATAAGGACCAACAATCTAGTTTAAAATCTCTTAGAACTTGTTTTATTCACTTTAATTGATATTAACAGTTGATTTAGAATGAAAGAGATTCTAAAATTTGCTGAACAGAGACATTAAAATATAAATTAAAATAATTAAGGTATCTCATTTATTTTGTTCTTCAAATGTAATATTTATTTTTAAATTGGATAGTGCCAAATTTCTTTTGAAAAAATGAAAAGGTAATACAAATAGTTAAATTAATTAAAATATGTAGAGAATGGATCTTAGAAGAAATTTGGGTAAGAGAAAAAGATTGAACTGAGTAGTAGTAATAAAAAGTACGGGATTAAAGCTATTGATAATATTTAATCAGGTGAATTTCTGATAAAAGTGTCCCATAAATATGCAATAAGCGCATTCACAGTATTCTAAAATGAATAATGTGTAGATATTATGAAGAGGAATCCTCATATATATCCATCATTACAATAAATTGGTAATAAATAAAGTGATTTTTAAACATTAATACTTTATTTGACAACATAAAGACATGGCAAATTAAAGCCAATATTTGATGTTTCAGAAAATCCAAGTTGTTTGCTTGACTGTGATTAAGAAATTCCATTTGATTATTTAAGAGAATTGAAGTTAGAATTCGAAGAGGAATATAAGGCAGCAAAAGATGAAGTAATGTTAATAGGATTAAGTAGTGAAGATTATGATTGGGCATATAGATTTTGCATGAATAGAAGATTAAGTGTGAATAATGATTATCCTTTTTCATTTTTAGTACCTATGATTGATATGATAAATCATGGCAAGAATAAAGCAATCTTTGGTTTGGAATAGGACAATCATCAACCAGAAGACTATATATAAAATAACTATATGAAATACAAATATATTTTGTAAAATAAATATTGGTTTACTTAAGAGGATTAGGAACTAATATAAAATGTTAAACTAAATGAAAGTGAAAGATGTTCTAAGATATTAAATAAATTATTAACAAAGTTATTTTAAGAATTACTCAGAACAATCAGTTACTTATCTGACAGAGCTATTTTACATCTTATTAATCAAAATTTATTTTTAGATAACAATTTACATTCATGAGCCCATATTTTAATATTTAAAATTTAAGGTGTCTTTAATTTAATCTCATAATTCACTTTTTAATTCATCTTTTGAAAGTACTTCTAATATTTAACTTCCTAATGAAGATTTTAAAAGTAAAATGACCCTAAATTATACATATAACTTAAATTTTATTGATGTAATTATTGATTAATTCATAGAAGATAGTGTTTATGAGATGTTTCTAGATTTAAATGTCTATGAACCCCTATAGAGATTCCATTACCTTATGTATTCACAGTTTTGATGTGATTATAAAACATGTAAGATAGGTTAAAAGCGATAGATTATCTAATTTCTTTAAGACAAATTCTTCCAATAACATTGATAATTAATTTATTCTTATGATTATTATGTTGATTTTTAAAAGTTGAGTCGACTATTGAATTCTCTTATTTGAACTTCTTGTTTTGATCCTAATACCATTTATAAATCTTTTCTTTTGGTATATTAAATGGCTTTGATTGGTATTGGGTTCAAAACAAGAAGTTTAAATAAGAGAATCCAAGAGTNATTAAAGCTATTGATAATATTTAATCAGGTGAATTTCTGATAAAAGTGTCCCATAAATATGCAATAAGCGCATTCACAGTATTCTAAAATGAATAATGTGTAGATATTATGAAGAGGAATCCTCATATATATCCATCATTACAATAAATTGGTAATAAATAAAGTGATTTTTAAACATTAATACTTTATTTGACAACATAAAGACATGGCAAATTAAAGCCAATATTTGATGTTTCAGAAAATCCAAGTTGTTTGCTTGACTGTGATTAAGAAATTCCATTTGATTATTTAAGAGAATTGAAGTTAGAATTCGAAGAGGAATATAAGGCAGCAAAAGATGAAGTAATGTTAATAGGATTAAGTAGTGAAGATTATGATTGGGCATATAGATTTTGCATGAATAGAAGATTAAGTGTGAATAATGATTATCCTTTTTCATTTTTAGTACCTATGATTGATATGATAAATCATGGCAAGAATAAAGCAATCTTTGGTTTGGAATAGGACAATCATCAACCAGAAGACTATATATAAAATAACTATATGAAATACAAATATATTTTGTAAAATAAATATTGGTTTACTTAAGAGGATTAGGAACTAATATAAAATGTTAAACTAAATGAAAGTGAAAGATGTTCTAAGATATTAAATAAATTATTAACAAAGTTATTTTAAGAATTACTCAGAACAATCAGTTACTTATCTGACAGAGCTATTTTACATCTTATTAATCAAAATTTATTTTTAGATAACAATTTACATTCATGAGCCCATATTTTAATATTTAAAATTTAAGGTGTCTTTAATTTAATCTCATAATTCACTTTTTAATTCATCTTTTGAAAGTACTTCTAATATTTAACTTCCTAATGAAGATTTTAAAAGTAAAATGACCCTAAATTATACATATAACTTAAATTTTATTGATGTAATTATTGATTAATTCATAGAAGATAGTGTTTATGAGATGTTTCTAGATTTAAATGTCTATGAACCCCTATAGAGATTCCATTACCTTATGTATTCACAGTTTTGATGTGATTATAAAACATGTAAGATAGGTTAAAAGCGATAGATTATCTAATTTCTTTAAGACAAATTCTTCCAATAACATTGATAATTAATTTATTCTTATGATTATTATGTTGATTTTTAAAAGTTGAGTCGACTATTGAATTCTCTTATTTGAACTTCTTGTTTTGATCCTAATACCATTTATAAATCTTTTCTTTTGGTATATTAAATGGCTTTGATTGGTATTGGGTTCAAAACAAGAAGTTTAAATAAGAGAATCCAAGAGTTGAAACTGAAAAAGAAATCATTTTTAAACAAGATAGTTTAAGTTCAAAGACCCATGAAATATTATATTTTAGAGGTCTTTAATTTAATTAGGAAGCGGATCAAAATTTAAAAAATAGACTGCTAAAATTAGCAAGAGATTTGATA